TACCCCTTGAGCTTCGGGGGCTCCGTCCCTTGACCCCTCGCCTGGGCTTTGCCCCTAGACCCCACTTTGAAAAACGTTTACCGGGACCTGCCTGTAAGAGTGGGGGTGATGCGGATTTTTTGGTCAGCCCCGGCCCAAACGTTTTTGCTCCTTACGCCACTGGCAAGGGAGTATCATTTGTTTCACTTGCCCGGCTTTATCTTGCCACTCCGTGAAGAAAGCAGTATTGATTGTGACATTCACTCGTCAAATTAAGTTCTCGTTACTCCCAATTTTACGCTAATTTACTTATCAGTTTCACTGAACAAAAGACGATCACCTGCTGCCTAGTTTCACCCTTTAATTGCAAAAAACAAACAAATAATATATAATTGTATTTGGAAATTTGTAATTTTATTATTAAACTCTGTATATACGGTTGCATTTGTTAGGAAATCGCCTTTTCATGATATTATACCAACTTTTCCTGTAAGAGATTATTTTGACTTTTAAAAAATGCATCGGAATAACAGTGAGGAATTGCTAGTGGGGATTCTTTCGACTTCATAAACAATGGACGACAAACCTGTCACATAGAATTTAATGTAAATTTAGAGAACTTGAATGACATCGAGGCATTCGAACGTTGACACTGGCAGGAAGAGCTTGGTTTTTGACAGATCGAATCTTGATTTGTCCACAGCATAGTTAGCTATCAGGGCGTTGTATAATTTTACCATTATGCCCCTATCGCCATGAGTGAAAAGAAAGAAGAGAGAAAAGAGAGAGAGAGGGGGGAGAGAGAGAGAGAGAGAGAGAGGGAGAGAGAGAGAGAGAGAGAGAGAAAGAGAGAGAGAGAGAGAGAGAAAGAGAGAGAGAGAGGTGAGAGAGAGAGAAGTTTAATAGGGATGGAATCAATACGCCATCATTATATCAGACAGCGTTCCATGGTAATCCGGTGACCATTACATTGGCCACCCAAAGCCCACAAAGACCTAAAGCCCCCCTCCCCAATTGTTCTAAAACTGCCCTACCCACATTCGCACTGGCATCCATCACTCACTATGAAATGAAAATTACCCGTATATCAAATCATCCTTGGATCAGAAGCAGAGGCCTATCTTGATTTCAATTATTTTAAGGGGCATAATTCCAAACAATGGCACAATAAAGGGATTGAATTTCAAAATTCTTCTTTTCGAATACCCACATTTCCTTAACATGGAATACCCCCCCCCCCCCTCCCCCTTCACCACCCAACCATGATCGCCCATTTCCATATGCATGCCCTGTCACGTTGCACCTTGTAACAAATTATTCGAAAAGAGAATATCAGATTTTACTTTACTATGTTTGTCTTAATTTCACGACTCCTAACACCTGCGTAACATCCTTTTTCTCCTGACCATCCTCTGCAGGGGCAGTGAGGATTTTTTTTTTTTTTTTTTTTTTTTGGGGGGGGGGGGGGGGGTGGGGTTACGGACATCACCAAGAAATACCTATTCATGTGCATTTGGAAAAGGAGGCATGCTGCATGGTTTGACGGAATTAAATGGTGTCTAAACTGGGTTGGGTGCGTGCAACCATGGCAACAAGAGGCACAATTTCGGCCCTCAACCCCTCAACCCCTCAACCCCTCTACCCCCTTGATACGTCAGTGGAGAATAGCATAGTGAATTCCATTATAAATAGATTGTCTCATTTCAACTATAAGGTTTGCCGAAAAAATAATGCCACCATTATACATCAACACTTTCGTTGTTAGATTGTCTGCTCAAAAGGGGCTTTTCTTCCATGATTGATGGCTAATAGGTTTCTCTATCCCTCTCTTTCTATCCCTCAAACATTAATTGAACCATCGCATGAGGATGATTCGAAGTATACGCCTCACAGTCATGAGGGTCATTTACACATGGTCCTTATATTACAAAACAGCGACGCAAATTGTACCTCTGTCACACCGCCAAACTAGCTCCATTCCAATTCAATTCAATTCAATCAAAATTCAATCAATATTTCCTTTACAAGAGATCAAAAAGAACATAACGATGAAATCATTTACAATGTTGGAAGGAGGCGAAACTTTATGCAAGAGCTGGGCTTTTGCTGTGGTTGCCATTTAAAAAAAGACATGTTATACATAATAATCTACATGAAATACTTATTAAAATATAGAGAGTTAGAGGAAGAGGATGAGAATTGGGAAATTCAAACAAACAATATTGGAATAATATGCATGTAGGCCTACTACGAATTGTAATGTACAACAATAATATTATAGTCTTGTTGGTGTGACTAAGGTATTAGCGACTTCCACCATAATATCCATGAAAACACTGAGATGTCAGACTGAGGTGGTGTGAATGAACCCAATGAGCTCAATCATGTTGGACGTTTTAGCTCCATTGTTATACATGACCTTGAATTTATCATTCAGACGGCGTATAATGATCACGGCAGACAATATCCTTTCAAACTGATTCATCAGATGCCCATCAATTATAATAATTCATTATAAATGTGACAGCTAAAAATACTTTAGTATGAAGTGACGTAAGTAATAGATTTAATTAAAATATATCGTTTCAACAAATGATTCTGTAACCCATGCATCAAAGGACATTGGATCAGACATTGGTCTACAAAACAGCCAATAAAATGTTCAACGTTACAGTGAATGAGACTCGGGATAAGAGAGGTTGAGATTTCATTTGAACTGATGAAGAACAACCAGGTGAGGGACTGCAAAATTATTATTCTAATAATGCGGTGACGGCTGCAAATCGCAGAGGTATGTTTTATTCTCTTGATATGTTTATATATATAATTATATAGAAATAGCATTTATAAATTTTTCCGCCCAGACTGAAAACAATCTTTTATTAGGTCAGGTTGCAGAAATTAATTAACTTTGAACTTTTATTGGTGGTTCTGAAGAATACGAGTGCTAGCGAGCTGCAGCCCCCCCCCTCCAACGGCCCCCATAGGTACTTTCAAAGTTGCGATATTTGGGCAACCACCATCTCATATTAGGTAGTGAGATATTCTCACATTCAGACATAATATGCCAGCATATGAAATGTTTGTAATGTTCACCAAAAATGTGTCATAAATGTTTAATTTATTAGAAACTGAAGAGATGAACAAGGCATCAGCCCCATCCCCCTAGAATAAAAAAAAAAATGTTCCTATGGGGTGGCTGTTTTCTCTTTCCTGAATTCTAACCATTGAAATAAATAAATAGAAAAGTTCAATCTACGCTGGCAAAGCTCATATTTGACATTGATCATTGTACTCGACCGTAATTGGAGACAAAATAAGAATCAGCAACAATATTCTTTAATCGTTTGAAAAGATTTGATAACATTGTTCAGATGAGAGATAATGATGCTAAGGTAGTGACATCAATGCAAATGTACAATTAAACATAATCTGAAAGTTTGAGTGAAAACAAACTATTATTAATGATAACAATTGGGAAAAAGCTGATCTGATCGATTCCTTAGTTATTCTAACTATATCATTATAACTAAATTAAATTTCAGGTGAATGTAAATCGTCACATAGCAATGAATTAGCTCTATACAATTCCTAACATTTGAATGTTGAAAGATTTTTAAAAGCCTGTTTTTTATGTCTTATTTTCATGGAAAAACGGTTGGGACATTTCAAAAATTGATTGGGAGAATTTATTGTTCGAGGGTGTTGCACAGTGTCGCCTTCGAAGAAAACCATAAATATCTTTGTGGTTTGAGAATTTTTCAGGATTGTTTGCATGTTAGAGGGTTAGTACACTAAAAGGAATATAATATGTTACCTTATTTAATAAAAAATTACGTTTTTAAAATAAAAAATAAATCTCCAACAACGTTACCGTTTCTGAACGTGTTTCTTTCTTTCTTTCTTTTCGGTTGCTTGTACTCTCTTACTTTGTTGTTATTCTTTTGTTTATCGGCAGATGGAATCATCTTTTCTTTGGGTTATCTTGGTGCTGATCAGTCATCACTTCTTACTGATTATCCGACCGGAATTTTGCAGGGGTAAGAATCCAACCCTTCCCGCGATAAAAAGTTAATCTTTACTGTCATTTTCCCGAAGGTTTATAATCCGCAAGGTTCCTTTTTCCGAAGATTCTTAAATCCGAAGGTTCATAATTCCGAAGATGTAGTGAACGTGAACTCTATAGGGCCTATCATTTTCGGGATTGGAACCTTAGGTATTATAAACCCTATTTCCTTTTCTAATTTCGTACCTTATTTTTATTTTCGGAACAACTTACTTCAGAATTATGAGCCCTCTTGAATGTGAAGTAAGGTATCGGAACCATAAACTTGGGAATTACGAACATTCGGAAAAACTAATTCCTCTTCGGAAAAAACAGTGCTCTCTCTCTTGGCTTCTGGCAGTGTCTGATCAGGGAGAGTGTTGTTCCAACTGCCTAAATGACCCTTCGTAAAGATGATTTCACATACGACGAGAGTGTTACTGTTAGTGTTTGTTCTGCTGCTACTGTGTATATTAGGGCCTTTTTAAGTACTAATATTGTCGGTATTATGTTTTATGTTGACCCTGAATTTTCTCTCATTTCCCGAAGAGAATGTCCGATTCATTAAAATGTTCTTTATTACAATTGGTGGCAATTAAAGAATCTTAAGGTATTACTACTATTCGATGCCCCTACCTCTAGCGAATTCCAACCTATCCGAAAGATGCGAATTATAAAGCTGACCACTAGACCAAAATTCTCTCTCTCTTTCTTATTTTCTCCCTGTCTTGCAGCGTGTGACAGCAATCAAATTGAGTTCGATGGGTCCTGCTACTATCTTTCACAAAGTGGGTTTGAAGAATTGTTAATAGAGTTGGCGAGCTAATTTATGTCTAAGAAGCTTACACTTTTACTCCGTTTTTCTTCCAATAATAATATTGTAATCAATTTTGTTGATTCCAATAATTGATTACAGGGAGGGGAGGTCTAAGGATGGCTAACCCTGGCTATTTTCGTTGTTGTTATTGTTGCCGTTATGGGATGTAATTGGTCGGTAATCAAGTCCTATCTATCTATCATCATCTTCTTCTTCTTCTTCTTCTTCTTCTTCTTCTTCTCCTCCTCCTTTCCATTTCAGAGGGGCTATGAAGCCCATCACAGAGATAAACTAAAGATGACATGCGGTGTGCGGGCGGATCTCTCTCCCTTTTTATTTCTCCACCTAGCTGCTCCACCCACTCATTCCTCGCATCCCACCATCAATCCTATCAAAACCGTGTTTTCTTCGTCTACTTTCCCTTACAGCTTGTGATCATTCAGGTTACATTGAACACGGCGGCTCCTGCTATCACTTCTCCACCAGCAAGAGGGACTTCTACTCGTCCAAAGCATCATGCGAAAATCTTGGAATGCACCTGGTCTACATAGGATCTCAGCAAGAACAAATCTTCTTAGCCGACAACCTGCCGAGAGACGACGGCGCCGAAAACGATTACAGCGACGATAGCGATGACGATAGTGATGGTGGTAGCGACGATAGTGGTGGTGGCAGCGACGATAGCGATGACGATAGTAGTGGTGGCAGCGACGATAGCGATGACGATAGTGGTGGTGGCAGCGACAATAGCGATGACGATAGTGGTGGTGGCAGCGACGAAAGCGATGACGATAGTGGTGGTGGCAGCGACGACAGTGACGATAGTAATGGCAGCGATGACGATAGTGGTGGCGGCAGCGACGACAGCGACGATAGTGATGACAGCGACGATAGCGATGACGGTGGTGGTGGTGGCAGCGACAATAGTGATTACGACGATGAAAACGACAGCAACGATGGCGATGACGACAACGACATGGATAGTTATTGGATAGGTCTGACCCGATTGGCCTGGCTAGATGGCTCAGGACTGCCCTATGAAAACTTAGGAGATAGGAGTTCCTCTGCTTTTGATGACGGGGGGATCTGTTACTTAATGAGAGCAGCAGAAACGTTCCAATGGATCAACATGAACTGTTCTATTAGCAACCGATACATTTGTGAAAAGGAGAGCGGTGAGTTTAGTTGTTTGACACATGACTATCCGACGAAGCACGGTTAATAGCAGAATGAAATACCACTTTTAACAACACCCGCAACCATTTCGCCGCCATTTCGTTCTTGCAGTGTTCACACTCGGTCAATACAGGCAGTAGCGAACTTCATGCCTTTTGAAATATTGTGAACATGACAATGACATATTATAGTAAAACAAAATTTCTACATGCAACACATTAGCCTATTGAAATGCTCTTAAAATGATTACTTGAAAGTCTGTGCGATCACGGTTGTAATTCTTTCCTGACTGCTTGCGGCGCCGTAGGGCAGCTTGTTTAGTGTTTTAGAGGTGCCTTTATAGCCTCTCTTGGAAAATAAAAATCAATTCAAAGTTCGGAATATTACCACAATTTTCTACATTTTAAATGTTTGTGTTTTCAGAACCGGTAACTACGACCAACCCTGTATCAAAAACCGAGGCAACTTCTGCAACATCCGCCGCACATAAAGCCCGGGCACTATCTTCGACTTCAACCCCTTTTGATCGTAATCGAGGTAAACACTAGTCTACTGTGTCAAAAAGTCAACATAGAGCGCGGGGGGGGGGGGGGGGGGGGGGGGGGTGTCACTACAGGGGCGAAACTCCATTCTTTTGTTCTTTTATCTCGTTGGCAAACTTAGGTGAAACCATCAAAATTAATATGCATTTTTATTTGCTTGTTTTACCAAAAATTTAACACTAACAAAAAAAACACAGCTTACTTGTCAGCAATTGATTTTGTCCGATATCCAAAATCCGTCAGAAATTATTTAGCTATACCGAAGCGTCGACAGAACCAGAACAAAAGAATTGAGTTTGAGGTGGGTCAGGTGGATATTAGACACCCGCCCCATTAAAGTTATTGTCGATGTATTAGTTGCCTGTTGTGGACGTTTTTTGGGTATTTTTGTTAAACATTATTTCCAGTAGATTATAAAATTGTCTTTCTTTTCTATTTTTTCTTTCTTCCTTCTTTCCTTTCTTTCTTTCCTTTATCTTTCTTTTAATATGAATATTATTGCTTAGGAATTTCTTTCATTTAGGACAATCTCAATCTGCCAACTTCAGACTTTTAGCAGATAAAACGCTCGTCGATGATCACGTGCTGTCGTCATTCACAGTTTCGTCCCTGATCCGCTGTGCCCGGTGGTGTTTCACAAATCCATTTTGTTCATGCTTCACGTACATTGAACACGAGAGGGCGTGCTTACTGGCCGACAACTGCCGGGTTCGGTCTACATCCGAAGTTGAAAGACGTTCCATGGCAAAGACCTATTCAGTTTATTGAACTCAACCAATGAATGTGAGCGGTCGTGTAGACCAGAGGACACTTGAACATTACTAAAGATGAACTACAATGAAGTAGGGTGAAGTAGTGAAGGGGGTAGGGGCAAGGAGAAGCAGATTCATCTATAAGTCGCCCCGCCTCCCCCCTCCCCCTCCCACGTAAAGAACACTAAAAGCTTTAAAAAAAATTACAATTCTAAATCTAATTCTAATTCTGATTCTAATTCTGATTAATTTGTTGTCATTCATTTACATTGAAGAAGTGTACCTCGTGATATTTGAACGAGTCGTAATTGGTGGAATTAGTTTTGGAAATAATTATTTACATATTGAATTTGTATGCGTTTTTTGGGGAAAATTAAGGTAAACACGTACAATTATTATTGTGAAAATATCGCAGCTTCATATTACATTGTCGTTTTGAGTAAAATTTCATTTCAAGGTATACGTCCCATTTGCAGGCCCAACAAAAGAAAAGATTAAATTCCAACGGCATGTGAAAGATAATAATAATTTAGAACTTTTCTTTAAAAAAGGGGGCTTGAAAATGTCTTTGAGATGGAAAATACCGACTATTAGTTGTCGAATCGACTTAAGAGCTATAGAGCCATGCAGTATGTAATGATTTTCAGACCATTGTACCGAATGGTCGTACGTTTTATGCTGCGCAAAGATTTAATTTTGGCCATATATACAAGAAGTGGGTTATTGTTAGACACTTGTTTCCTTTAAAGTGAAGATGAAAGAATATTTATTGTTAAGGTATGAAAATTAGATTCTGGTCATAATATACTACATGTACTTTGTTTTAATATAAATATTCATTGTTTATTTGTATATAAAAAGGAAATTATTTGATAGATTGAGGAGCTCGCGCAGTGCACTCTTCACTTTGCACAGCACTCACTTCACCCGCTCTTTCTTCCTGTCTCCTCTCCTCCTTTTGTAAGGCCGGTATCATTTCAAGCTCTGCTTACGATATCGGTCTTCTGCATTCTCCCCCTTTTCTTTCTTTTCAAATACGATTAATTGTACTATTGATTATTTATATTTATTTATTTGTGAATTACTACTTGTATTACTTATCATTATATTGCTAAAATGTATTCATTGTTATTTTTTTTTTTTATTGTTTATGGAAAATGCAGAAATAAAACTTGAAACTGAAACAAACAAATGCTCATGTACCCTTTACAGCTCATTTTATGTATGTTATTACCAAAGAAGCAAAAAAGCCAGTCAGTCACTCAATAGTGTCTGACAGTGAAGTTTACGCAAGTAAACGGATTTCCTTGCATAATTTGAATATTATATTAGGACACTGCTAACGTTTAAATTTCACAGATTGAACATACATGACATTTCAACAATTCCTGCAAAGTTCTACAGAATTTGATGTTGGCTGCAAAATTGACATAGTATTTTAAAGCTCATGAGCTCTGGTAACAGGGCATCGTATTTTGAGAGAACCAGTGAAATAAAAACAAACGCACAAAAACTTTCCGGGTATCAATCGTCTTTGATAACAAAAACACAACTCCCATTTGCACATAGTGATCTGTGTAACTGAGCACAATGGTGTCGCGGGCCTACTTACCCGGATTTCCTTATTTTTCTATGCTCATTACTCGGCCACTATAAATTTTCTACCAAAATTGTTTAGTAGGCCTATACATCAGTCATTTATTTGTATAATCAGTGTAAGTTTCGTTGGGTTCTGTGGGAATTTATATTCTTACATAAGACAACTCAGGTTTATGTATTATGTTAATTAATAAAATGTGAATGTTACATTTATGCACATGCATGCATATAATTTATGTTTAAAAAGATAATGTAGAAATCAACAAATCAATTGTCAATTAACAACAAAAACATAAGTGATTAATGTGTAGAGTTAGTTTGAATAAAATGGAACAACTGCCAGTCTAGCAAGGGTCGGAACAGTATGTATATTTAATTATGAAGAAGACAAATCAAGAACAGCCTTGGCCCTTCCTCGATCTGTCCCTCCCACTCACCCCTTCTCATCTCTTCTATTCCTCTCATATATATACTCCTCTCTCCTCCCGCTTCTCTCTCGCTCTCTCTCTTCCCCTCTCTCATTCTTTCTCTCACTCACTTTACTCTCTCCCCCTCTCTGTTGGTTGCTTGTCAGAGTGCACCCCCCCCCCCCCGGCATGAGAAACCTAATATCCGCCACTGCATGTACAACCCAAAGTTCTTACGAATCACTCTGAATGTGAATCAAGATTTAATCAAGAGGGAAGTCATCTATAGCCATTGCTCCTAACAAATTGCTCCTGTCAAATTTCATGAAAATAATAACAATCCATAAATTTGAATATATTATCGAGCTTGTCTTTTGAATGGCTGTCCTTGTCTCCACCTTCATGCTGCTGCGGCAACCTTGTTGCAACCTTTGTAAAGTGGGTATAGGCTAGGCTCAAGCCTATGGCACTTTGTAAAGAACGTCAAAAGAGAGCTCTTCCGCACATAGGTGTGTGGATTCTTGGCAGATTTGCACGCAGTAATGAGAAGCTAAGGGTATACGGTGTTTGAGGAGGGGGAGGGGATCTTCCCGCCATACAGAAACATGTGATTTTAAATAATTATCTTCTCATATGAAATGATCATTTTCGTCATCGATTATATATCATTGCTAGAGTAATTTGAAAAAAGTTGTCTCTACCGACAGCGAAGATTGCACCTACTTTTTAGAATACATTTCTGGAAACTCCACTACAGGGTTCTCAAATCATGAAGAGTTGAAAATTTAAATTGTAAAAATAAAAATAAAAAATAAAACAAATACATGAATAGACGTATACTATAGATACCGGTAGACATTGGTATACATGTATAAAGTAAATAAATAAATAGATGAGCACTAACAATAAAAAATTATACATAAGTAAATGGTTGACATAGTTCCTAAATTTCTCTTTTGAAGTAGAGGTGATTTCCTGATCTTAAAATGTAAAAGATAAGGATATTATAGTAATACAATACAACATACACATAAATTAACATTTTAAAACATGATGGGCTGAAAACTGTATCCATAAAAGAGTCCTTTGATAAATGCCTTGACTGAGACTAATTCTGATCAGCTGATCGCGATTAACATAACAGTGCGTGCTCTATTATTTAGCCGTCGCGACCTCGGTCGCAGATTGAACGGTGAAGTCTGAAGATGGTCGACGCAATTATTTCTTGTTTACATCAGGTAATTCTCATTTTTATAACTTTCTCTTCATTCCAAATCTATGCTTTGCTAATAGGTGGTCATTAACAGGTTTAGAGATCCTTTTGGTAAGTTGTTTCCACTTGGAAAAGATTTTTAAACCGTAAATAAAGCAATATAAATGGTAGGTTTCTTCTTTGTTTACAAGTTGTCTGGTGCTGGCTATAGCTAGACAGAACAATAGGCCTACAGTGCAGTGGCTAGGAACGGTAAGGTGAGGCAAGCATTCGCTAGGTGTATAGAGGTCAGTGGTTGAGGCGTTGAGCTGAGACTCGCTCTGTATGTATGTATGTATGTATGTACGTCTACTGGCAACGGCAGATACAATGTTGGTGAATTGAAAGACTAAATTACTAGGTCTAGAGGGATCTACAGATTTATTCTCGGGTCTATAGATCTGGTGTGTTATTCCTCCTTGACTTCCCCAGTTTCAGTTTCACTTATCGCTTGACGTCACAGATCTGGAATATAAACATGCATCTACAAATACTAGACCAAATTTTTCTGTCTCTTTCGTTCGTTAGCCTCTGATTTGGGTAAGGTCGGCTCTCTCTTTAGAGACAGAACAGCCCTATACGCTAAAACTATCATCGCCTCGGTGATCTTCGGGGCTACCATCATCCCTCGCCTTGCGGCTCGGGATGATAGTAGCCCCGAGATCACCTCGGCGATGAAAGTTTGTACCATTACCCTCGTCGATTAATATTTGCTTATATTTAGCAGTGGATATATTGGAGTGCATGCCAGTGTAATACAAATGCTAATTTTACTCAAACATATTCATTTTCATAAAATTTTCATTTTAAAAATAGGATTTATTTAAAAATTGGTTTTCATTGTTTAATTTCATTTTTGTAGGAATTACTTGATCAATGAATATTCCATTTTTTATGAATGTACAGTGTTGTGAAAGGTAAAATAATGTTCTGTTTTTCTCTCTTTCTTCTAGCTAAGCAGTATCTAATTGACTTGAGCCTGAGGGTGTAAAGGAGATCAAAATGGAAGAATTAGAAAGTATAGACGGTTCATCAATGGAGTCTAAAATAGCATCCATAGAGTCAGATAAAGACAATTCAAGAACTAAATCTGATGAAGAGGTCTTTGCAGAGACACAGCTGACAAGGTCAATGAGACGGAGGTCATCCTTCCCTCTCGTTTCTGTGAGTACTGAATGCGACGAGTCGGTCGAGACAATGTCCCTTTGTGATGGAAGTCTTCTGCGAACAAGCCCTGTCATGGCAAGCTCTACAGGAGCCTTACCTTCAGCAGGGAGTCACTTCCCGTTGCATAACCGCTTCCTTCAGATTCCAAGGAACCACGCAGGGCTAGGTAGCACGTTGAGTTTAGCCAGCCACAAACTGGTAAGACCACCGTGTACTCTCGGAACACCACCGAAAGAATCCGTGTTGCCTGCAAATCCAAAGCGGAAGTGGTACCAGCTCCTCCAGCAGTCGTCCGTCCAGCTAGGCCTGGACTTCTGCTTTGCAACGGAAGGTGCGCTGGTGACACCCATCTTACTTCAGTTGGGCCTACCTGATCATCTCTATGGTCTTGCATGGTTTCTTGCACCCATCCTGGGCCTGATCCTGGCCCCTCTCATTGGGTCGGCGAGTGACAGGTGTCGCAGTCCGATGGGCCAGAGAAGACCTTTCATCCTGATTCTGGGGATCTTTGTCATGATAGGGACAGCACTGTACTTGAACAGTGCAGACTTGGGTGTCCTGATCAGCAAAGATGATGGTAAGCTCTAAATCATCCACATGTTTTAATCACTCATTGCCAAATACTAAAGTATACTTCCAGACTAATTCATTCATCCATGCTCTACATTAGTGCATGCACACAGGCCTTCAAGTAAATTCCCCTGCATATATTGGGTCTTTTCATTATATAATATAGAACAAGGGAATGGAATCCAAAGTCTGTGGCCCGTATTCTGAAGTCTTGTCTAACTTAAGTCATGACTAAAGTTAAACAACTGTTTAGTTAGACACGACTTGAACGTGAGGTCGCGCCTAAGTCCTGTCTTACTAAATCTGAGCATTTACATTGATTCCATCTGAGAACAAAGCCTTACTCTTCTGATTCTTGCAGCAACTACAGCCACGATGTGGGGTATAGCCATCACGGTGCTTGGAGTGGTGGTGACAGACTTAGGTGCTGACAGCTGCACCTCTCCCTTTAAGGCTTATCTAATGGACACTTGCAACCTGGATGACTTGAAGCTTGCTCTCAGCATGCGGAGTACTCTGGGAGGTATTAATTTGTTTCAAACATTTTTATGAAGGACTGTGTGTTATATTCGCCCATCACCAATCCATCCCCCAAACAGAAGCTTTTTCCCCTTTATATTGGACCCAGGCAATTGACTGGTTGATTGATTTAGGCAAGTAGATTAATTAGTTTTAAAACTTTGCATTTGTTAAATATCCTTGTGAAAGCTGTTCATGTTTAGCCTCATATATATGTAGTTTTGATGTAGCTTCTTTCCATTTTGTGGTTTCCAAGGTGTTCGTTCCAAGAGTTACTTTATAAAGTTATCTTCTTTGAACAGAAATGAGTAAATGATTTGTGGAGTAAGTGTCATTGAAAGTTTTGTTTGCCATCTATAATGACACAAATATGAAAAAAAGTGTAATTTATCTTGTGAATGTTCATTCTGTATTTGTTCATTAACTTAGATTTCACTACTTGCTCTTTTAAATTCTCTTGGAGATAGTATCAAGTATTATTTACCCTGACCTTTCTAATTGAATGCATGTATATCAATACCTTTTTATCAGGTATTGGTGGGGCTCTTGGTTACACCTGTATCGCCATCAACTGGGAAAAGACAATCTTCGGACAGGCCCTTGGGAGTCAGTTACGCGTTGTCTTCCTTCTTAATGTCATCGTTTTTCTGATCCCCCTCATCCTCACTCTAACAAGCATACCAGAGATACCATTGAGGAGGCCCCCGTCCTTGAGTCCATCGGACACAAAGTATGTCCCCTGCAATAGTGGGGATGAAAGAACTGCCAGAAAGGTTTCTGCTGATGCAGACGGGAAGTCCCAAAATGTGGGAAAGAGGAAGATGTGTAGCCTTTGGGGTTTCATCAAGTGGTTCTACAGGAAAAAGCCAACTGGGGACAAGACACAAGAATCTGTTGAAAGAACTACCTTGTCAGGTGATGATGTTGATGAGGGCAGTCATTTATATTGCAATGGGGAACAACCCCATAAACATATAAGATCCTGTGGGAAATTTAAGAAGCAAAGAATTTCCAAAGGGAAGGACAGTTTGTCCAGTGGACACAATGCAAGCAGTGGTGGCAATAGTGATAGAAAACTCTTTGTTCCTAAAAAGAAAGTCAAAGCATCTTCAAAGAAATCAGAAGCGGGCTCAACAACTAGTAGCAACTGCATTTTGAAGATCAACCCCAATGATGATATGAAGGACCTCTTGAATGCAACAGCCAAAATGCCAGCAGGCTCTTTCAGTCATAACACGACCATGGACCAGTGCAACAACAGCAGCCAATCCCTAGCCATCTGCATCTCCAACCCGTCTGTTGAGATCAACTGTGGTGATGACGAAGAGGTTGGAGAGAGTGATGATGATGATGATAATAAGGGTCAGCCCCCGTCTGTACTGCAGTTGCTTCGTTCAACAATCTACATGCCCAAGGAGCTGAGGTTTCTGAGCTTGATCAACTTCCTGGGATGGGCCGGCATCATCACGCTGCTGTGTTTCTTCACAGACTTTGTGGCCCAAGCTGTGTATCATGGTAAGAACTTGAAAATGAAGCTCAATATTGAAAAGGAAAAAAAATCTGAGAGGCAACTTTTGGGGGTTTGGAAAATATGAATAAAAAGATGTATGAGAAAAAAGAAAGAAATATGGAGGTGTGATTGCCTATTAAATGGTGTCTAGCTTGAATGCTCCCCAGTGAGTGAAGTATGTGCATACATGGGTACCGGCAGGCCTGGATCTGTTGCAGAGGGTAATGATAAATCTGCAAAGCACATAAAAACATACCGGTAATGTATTTATCACTGTGCCACACCCTTTGAATTCACCAGGTGACCCGGGAGCTGAGCCAGGCACGGAAGCGTATCTTCTGTATGAAGAGGGAGTCAAGATGGGCAGTTGGGGACTTTGTGTCTACTCCTTCTCTTCCTTTGCAATGGGATGTAAGTATTGGATTGACATGTGTCTACTTCACACAGGGAAAAAATTAATAACAAGATTTCAGGGGCTACTTTTCAAGCTTGCTTGCATGAAAGTAACACTCTTTAATTTGTTTTGCATTGAACTCTATGCGAATTTTGAGGGCTCTTTTTTTAACTTTCGGGGGCTCTTTTGGGCATTTCAGGGGCTAATTCGCCCCGAGTCCCTGTGTATTTTTCCCCCTGATTTCACTCATTATGCAGTGAACTGCTACCAAATAAAAAAGAAGAAACCCCACGGCAAGATTAAGATTTTTGTGTCAATAAATATCAAGTGAATTTAAAAAATATATCTGCGTGCAGCAAAGGACCATTATCTGTGCTAAAAGACACAGTTTATTTTGCTGCATCAATTTGTGTTTCTGAGGTAGTTTGCTTTGTCTGAAAGAAGCTTACTGATTGACCAATGTAGCGTTTGACCCTACATTGTTGTGTAAATGTAAGAATCCAGCAGAAACATTAACTTCAATATTAGGAATTGAATTTTTTCTCTTTTTTCCCCCAAATTTGGAGCTTATTTGTGAGTAAAACCTTTCAGGAAGAAGTGTATCGAGTAGAAATATGTTGCGATGTCAATTGTCTTGGGCTTCATTTCGTCAGAGAGGTAGGATGAGGGTTCTAATTGAGTGTTTAGGTAATGGTTAGGGCTAGGATTAAGGGTACATGTAGGTACAACGTTTTTGGCCAGGGTTTGGGTTTAATAGGAAATTGATTTGTTGAGGCTATCAATCTGGAAGCAATTGTTGTTAGCAGCTTGATGATGTGTCATACATGTAGTTCAGGAGTTCATTGGCTTGCCAGTAAGTCCATAACGTGTTCTGCAGACATGCAACGAGATGTCAGGGGCAAGTCAACAGTCCTGATCGCTCCAAACTAAATGAAGGATATATTGATATATGGGTCAGCATGGTTGTATGACATGTGCAACAGGTGCTCTGCGGTCAATTTCCTGCAGTAACCTATCATCTAGCTTCCTTCCTCCACCAAACAAGATATCTACATGTACATGTACATGTATGTAAACCTGATCCTAAAGTAGGGCTCCCACTTAGCCGAGTTGGAGCCTCGAGTTGTGGCGAGTTGTGACATATTTCTTGATATCAAGAAATCAATTCTTGTTATCAAGAAATAATTTTACGTTGTAAACTGTAAAGCAATGGTAATTCTTGATATCAAGAATTGAATTTGTGATATCACGAATTCGATTTTGTGATATCAAGAAATATGTTTTAATGATAAAACTGCTTGCCTTAAGAATGCTTACACAGACCAAGTCAAAATGTTGAACAGTTTTTTTTCTTTCCATAATAGCACGATAGGCATCAACATAAACAGTCAGGTTGATTTTGAAAACCTGTTGTGTAATTAGTTGGAGAAGCAGGAAGTTGTTTAGGAAGTTATTTAGCGATAGCATTCCTTTCCCACATGGCTGCGATTGTGTCCTAACTAATAACAGGATGCTTTCCAACCCCTATAGCACCACTTACACATTTCCTCACAATGCCTTTGTAAAGCCATTACTTTGAAGAAAATGAAAATTGGTTAATGGGTGATTAGCAGGAGATTATTGGTGATCATTAATATCCTTTTCTTTCTTCAAGCAATCCTTGTTTTGAATGAAATTAAGGAAGTTGCGTTGATGGAAAGTCCACAAGAAATGACAACATGGGATCTCGTTGTTCATTGTTTTTCATTCATCATGTATACCTGCACAGTGGACAAAATTTCCATAGTCTGCAAAATGTTTGGTTATTATAAGCATTTATATACCTTACTTAAGAAATCCAGCCATCTGATTGATCGAAATTGCATTCATAAACTTCAACTATTCCTGTAAAATTCCCGAGAAAAGTTTGTCTGGCATTAAGAGTTTACAATAGGTCAGATGTTGACAGTCGGTCATGTAAATATGTCTGCTTTTCAATTTAGTCTGAAGAAGCAGTGGTTTTATTATTTCAGAACGACCCATGGGCAGGAAAATAAACAACTTATCATGAGAACTGGAAAGGCAGGATTACTTGTAGGTCATTTACGGAAATAGGCAATTACCACCCTTTAATTTTATCTACATATTTAGATCACAAGACACAAAGTGCTATCTGGATCCAAGACAAGTCAAATCAGACTTGGGTTCCTCTCGCACTCGTACACATGCTTGTCTACTCAACAAGACATGTTACTGTTCACTTTATATAGAATGTATTTGAATTGCAATTTGTCTTTGTAGAAATGAAGCTCATATTTTGAATTCAGCTTTGTAGATCAAACCCCTTTCATCAAGAGCAAAACATGTTTTTGTGATTGGTACACTTTCAGTGTGATATCATTTTACTTGAACTACATTTTAAACACCTCATCCACATATTACATACATGTAGTAAACCAGCCAGGTGTAGTAAACCTACATGTAGCTATTGCGCTTTACATTTTTGTATAAGGCTTAGACTCAGTATACATCCATGTAGGACCCTTTATGTGTGCAGTTACATGTACTTGTTTTCAATGCCACTTGCTTTTCAACTTAAAGGAAAACAGTATTTAAAAAAGAGGGAAAGAAAAAAATCGCTCTGGTTTCATATACTGTGTCCTGCAATTATGTGAGAGCCTTTACTGTAAGTAGAACAAATAGATTTCAATGGTAAATATACTTGATCTCAAAGTCTGTTTCCTTATCTGTCTTTAAACAAGGTTCATGAAAGAGTTGAAACCATTGGTAAATGTAGGGCATTTTGTTTAAGTCTTCCTGTCTAACAAAAAAAGTTCATGAAATGTCAAGTGTTCAGGTCGTCGGCATTTAAACTTTGCTTCAACTTGGCATGAATATGAGTACATGAAGAATAAGAATATTCTGTTAGTGGGGGGGGGGGGGGGGGTAGGGGGAGAGTTTGAAAGTTATGTGACAGCCAAAAAAAAGGTAGGTGATCATGTTTTTAGGTGTACCAATAAACAAAACAAATCTGTCAAGGAAAACAAAATCTGTGTGACACCCTAGTCCCCCCCTCCAAACACAATAGATAGATCATCAGGGTTTTGATGTGCCATTAAAAAAAGAAGAATTTGATTGAATTCCAGTTTATAATTTGAAGTGAAATTGTTAGGTTACAAGAAAAGATGGCCCAAATATATATTAAACAAAAAGAATAATAGCTATTTTTTTTTTCATTCAAAACAGGAGAAATTTATTATTTCAAATTATAAAACAGGAGTAAAGGGCAACTCAGCAAACTCCAAAGATCTCTTGAAAACTGCAAAGAGATCTGTTAAGAGAACACAATGGAAAAGTTTTGCAAGTAACTTCCACATTTATCATGATAAACCATGGATAGCCTCCTAGCTGCACGCACACACAAATATTTTCATTGAAATTCATTATGATGAACATATACAAGAATACTGTCATGCATAGATGCCCAAATTGAAAAAAAAAGCTTATGAAAAAGGGATAAAGAAACCAGTCAAACTCATATCATGTAATAACAATAAAACATACATGTACTTTGCCCCAAAAGGTCACCTCTTTCTCTTTTTGTGTATTTGTGCATGTTGAATTATACAAAATAAATACCATTGTTTAGCTGACAATGAATGGCAACCCCTCTTCCCTATAGGTCATATCACCAGTAACCCTTTTTGTAATTGTAAGTACATACCGTATAATATAAGCTAATATGTCTATTATGTACATGTAGATGTACATGTATGTATTAAAAGGCACTTTTGGTCAATAGACAAAAGTTGGTGAGGCCCTTCAAACAGAATTTGAAAAACAACTCTAGTTGTCTTGTCTTGATTTGACAGACTGTTATTTGTTGTATTTATTCCATCATTTGTTGTGATATGCAATGATCTCACATTTCAAAGGGGGACATGGGGGGGGGGGGGGGGGGGGGGGGGGGGGAGGGGGAAGAAGAAATGCCTAAAATAAATTTTTGAAAATCCAAGGTCAAACTACAGTTCAAATCTATTCATACAGTTGACTTCTAGCCATATGTGCTTGCAATATGTGAAAGAAACAATTGTAGATAATGTTATTTTATAGATTTTTAAATCATGACAATTTAAAGAGATCATGGGGCCAAATCTTGCTGCAAATCACATACAGTAAAACAGGGCTGCACAGAGGAATACATGCACATGTGGCTCGAAAGTTTGGTCTTAACTTTAAAAGCTAAAAATGTTATTTGTTTAATATTATACACATTTCTACTCTATATATGATAGTCTTCCATACAAAGAATGTCAAAGCACACAAATTATTTTTCACCTTTACCAGAGTTTGACAGTCTTTTTATCCATCTTTCCCTTTCTTTTTCTTTCCTTCCATCTCTCTCTTTGTCCCCAGTGGTCATGACCGTCATACAACGCCATTTCAGTCAGAAGTTCATCTTGGTGGCTGGTCACTTCTTCTTTGCTGTGTCATGCGGTGCCATGGCGATGCTCACCAACCATCCCTATGCCATCCTCTTCTTGTGCTGCGGACTCGGGATAGACACGGTGGTCGTCATGACGATACCCTACAACGTACTGGCTATCTACCACAAATGTGAAAAGGTAAGCATTTTTTTATCCAAGAGCGTATTTGAGATAGAAAATCCTTGGGGGTGTTTCATAAAGACTTAAGTTGGACTTAACTATGGCAGGCCGTTCATACCACTGTTTGCTCCCACCATTTTCTGGCATTGGTCTCTCAAGGGACATACAAATCATGGTCACAAATCTACAGAATTTACAATTTATTATTGAAGGAAAAATATTATCAAAAGATCATAATGGTGAGAGCAAAGAGTTGCATGAACAGCCTGTCATAGTTTAGTCCAAATTAAAGTTGATTTTAGTCTTTGTGAAACACTCCCCTGGTACGATCAAACCGGAAACAGTGGCAAAATTCTTAATGGCAGCCATTTTTATGTGACTTCCTTGTAATTGCATAAATATAATGTAGTGTTAATCAGGAGTCAAAATATTCGGCAGCATGAAACTTGAAAATGCAATGAACTAAAATTCAATTGTGTGCTTTTCTTTTGCCTCCAGTACAAACATCCAGAAGGAGGGCTCCCTCGAGGGCTTGGTACAGACATGGCTTGTGTCGACATCCAGGTGTTTATTTCTCAGATCACGGTGTCGGCCGCGATGGGTCCCTTGATCCAGCTCGCAGGGTCCCACGTCACCATCGTCGTGTCTGCTGCCATCATGTCTTTTCTAGCATCACTTTGTGCCGCTTTCCTTGTGACGTACGAGATGAAGGATAATTGAGCGCAGCGCGTACCCAAAGTTGGTAAATCCTCAGCGAACAAAGTAGCATACAATGCCAAGTTCATACATACATTGTACATGTATGTAATATTTCATTGATATGTCTGTATCAGACACTCATATTAAAGGGTAGCTAAATTGCAAATGCATGTTGACTTATGTTAATCTGTAATAATGTATACATCACATATCTTTTGATTTTTTGGTGTTCATCTATGTCAAATATTTTATATCATTTTTCCTATTCATTTTGTCCTACCTGCTAAAGCTCCACCCCTGAACAAAAATCCTTGCATGTACCAAAGAAGTAAAAAATTCCCTCACACTTTTGTAGACAAAATTGGTACAAAAAACCTTGATTGATACGAAGCTAATTATTGCTTTATTTCAAGTAATGTAATGTAATATATGACTGTTATTTTGTATAGACAGTAGCTACATGCACTTTGTATAAATATTTTAATGGCATTTACAGAATTATTTTACGGTGCCAAAGGGTAATTTTTAATATATAATGTAATATTCATGTATAAGCGCTTTAATAGTGACAAATGAGAAAATTATGTCTACTTTTTGGAGTTTCAAACATATTTTGTCTTTTGACAGATTCGATATATCCCTGTACAAATACATCATTTAGTGGCATCAGTGGTTTATAAAATAGCTTACAATATTGTAGTTTAATTTTTTTTATTAATATTTGGTGTTGAAGCTTTGATTGCAGTGCTACCTCATACAAATCCCATTGGTTTTGAGATTGAGATCATGTTTGTTAATTTTGATAATGGTTTGTTCACATATAATGCAGGACATTGTGGTGGATTTCATTTTTGTCTCACCTGTGTAGCAAAAAGCGAGACATAGGCGCCGCTTTTCCGGTGACGCCGGCGGCGGCGACGGCGTCAACATCAAAAACTTAACCTAAGGTTAAGTTTTTTAATTTTTGATATAATTTTGAAAGTATAAGTTCTTAGTGAATGAAACTTGAACTATAGAATTATTAAGTATCCCCAATTATGTGAGTAAAATTTCAGGTCACAAAGTCAAGGTCAAAGGTCATTTCAGGTCAACAGACTTGGACTACATTGTACATGTATGTTGTGGCATCATCATCGATAACTTAACCTAAGGTTAAGTTTTTTAATTTTTGATATAATTTTGAAAGTATAAGTTCTTAGTCAATGAAACTTGAACTATAGGGTTATCAAGTATTCCCAATCATGTGAGTAGAATTTCAGGTTACTAAGTTAAGGTCAAAGGTCATTTAACGTCAACAATTTTAGACTTTGTTGTGGCATCAACATCAAAATTTTGAATTTTTAGCATATTTTCAAATTGTTTGTTCAAATTCCATGAAACTTGTACCCAAGGGTTATCAAGTATCACAAGTCATATGACACATATTTCAGGTCACAAGGTCAAAGGTCATTTTAGGTCAGTAGAATTGGATTATGTTTTCACAACTTAATATGAGAATTAATAAATCAATTTTTTTTATTACTTTGTTCATATTTCATTCAAGTTATTGATCGTGGTACAAATAACAGTGAATAATTCTTCTGGTGATTCTTAGTTAATATTCACTTCAAAATGCTGATTATATTCAGAGGATTTCATTTTTTGGGGCCTGCTAATGGGCCACCCTGCCTATAAATAATGTTCCTACCTCAATTTTTCATCATTTCGAATTGCGTAATGCAGGCGAGACCGCGTTTCCCAGGCTTGTTTACATGTAACAGTATGACGAGTAGGGATGAAAAAAGTAGCTGTATGCAACAAAGTCCCAATGCATACTCGCTTACGGGCATTTGTGTGTCATGATACGGAATTGTTAAGCACATAACGTACATATAATTTTTTTCTTCAAATATGGATGCGATTTTGATGCACCATTAAGATGTATGTACTATAATGAATAATATAGATCAGGACTGAATATATGTTCAATTCTCTTGAAAATTTTTCTTGTGCATATGTGACATATAGGTTCAGTTCACGTGAGGTTGAGTATATGCACTTTATTACTATTGGTAGATCATTCCAAGTAGTTAAGGCATAATTATTGTCTTTTAAAATACAATAGTTCATTTTTCGTTGTGGTTTTGTTTACTATACAAACAATGGCGTAGCTGATGGATGGGGCACAGGTGGAAAATACCCTCTACAATTGAATGGTTGACAAGAAATATGGGAGAGAACAACAAATAAATAGATGAATAGATGAAAGAAAACATTTCTATTGAATCTTGGCTCACTTCATGGCCTTGATTTTTCATGTTTCACCCACCCATTCAGTACAATGTGAATCTGGTGCCCCTCAGTGATACATGTGCCCCCCCACACACACACACACACCGCCCCCGTGGTTGCACCCACACTACGTTACGCTACGTTAGTGCTATCAACAAATGGACAGGGCAAGACTTGTTGCAGGGTTTTAGAGGGATTACATTGTCAGAGAAATAGTTTAGAGTTTAAATGTGTATATCTATAAAGACATATGTCCATTTGGAGAAATGTTACAGGGTAGGCTGGCCTGCAGAGAAAAGCCTTTTAAGTGAGTGTTTTTTCTTTTAATGAATAAAGAAGAAATACAGGGTTTAGACATGTTTGTCTTTGTTAATATAAATGTAGATGATATGGTGTTGGGTAGATGATGCAATAGACACGGTACCGGTAACTAAACTTTATTTTATTAACACGAGCATAGCACATTTTACCATGATTGAAACATGTAGATGTAAGAATATATAAAAGTTTATCTATATAAAAAGAATTTGTAATTTTCTTTTAACGTATGCCTTTGTTGTCTGCTCTTTGCTTTCTTCTTGGCTAAACAGATTGTGATGAAGAGAATTGGTGGAAAGGCTTGTTCAGATATGAAGAGATAAACCGCTGCTGTTTAAAAAAAACAACAACATAAATGGATGGCAACTGCTTGCAACACAGGTCTGCATGTATTCACTAAGCTCTAGCTGTGTTGTATGATACACATATGTGAAGCGTATGGCACTGAATAGCGTTATTTTATAATACTAATAATAGTCACATTTGTATAGCGCTTAATACATGTACTATGTTTCTAAGCGCTTTACATTGTAATTATTATTACCCCGGTCTTTGTATTCAATTGCTAATGTGCACATGATAGTGCCCATGCTCCGCTCCATGGGGAGAAATTGCTGGGGTTTACCACCTCTTATCTGAATGAGAATGTGTAACATGTGATGGTGTACATGTAGGGGCTGGCCTGTTCACACATATCCATGAATTCTTTTAGTATGTGTGAATGAATGGCAGGTGGGGATGAAAAAGGTCCAATGTGTACTCGCTTATCTGTGTGTCAAAAGATACAGCACATTACATTGACATTGTACATTATTGATACAAAAAAAGTGGTGAGAAAGACTGTATTATTAATGAGCCTGAAGTACATATAATATTATGGAGGAAAAAATGCTTTGATGTACATTTATGTCATTGATGTAGATCTTTGATCTATGTGCATTTACATTTACAGTAATAGCCGACATTCTTCATTCTTCTCCCTCTTTGTCGGCCTTGCCCTTAAATCTTTAGGTTCATAACCCCCCTCCCCCTTCTCTATCCTTTCTCTCTATTCCAGCCCCCTTTCTTCCTGATATGTAAACAAAATATCAAGTGAACCCCTTTTTCTGTCCGTCTCTCTCTATCTGTCAGTCTCTGCTGTCTTTGACACTCGTGGTTGATTTGCCCTCTATGGCTCAACAATTTCTCCCTACAAGAACATGAAACTCTTTCTTTGGGTGTATTTCTGTTTCCCCTTCCCTCTTGACCTCTCCGTCGGTCTTTCCTAATCTTTGGCTCCACACTATCCACCTTCCTCTCTGTCTATGTAGATCTTTCCCTTTCTCTGTCTTCCTCTTTCTTTCTCTTTCCCTTTCTCTCTTCCTCTTTTGGAAACAAGATCTCAACTGAAGAAATATTCATATACACTCACATTCTATCTAAAGTCCATGAACAACCAAAGCATTGAGATATCACATATTTCTACAGATATTTTTAAATCAAGCTATGTCATAACAAAAGAGAAAATACATTTCAAGAGAATACATCATCAACTGCAAAAAGTAGGCTAGTACAAGATTTTTAGTCTATATTTCAATCTAATCAGATTATAAATAAGTACAAAATACAACTTTAATTTATACCAAGATATGAATTATTCACAGTACTAGCTAGTATCACAGTACATTTCACACATCTCCTATTGTCTTTACAATACATTACCATCAACATGGCAAGCTATTCAATACAAACAGTTTTTGAAATACACAATTGCAAGGTATCTAATTGCACATCTATTGCAATAATGATGATAATAATAATAAGTAACATTTATTGCACAACTAAAATATAAATATCCAAGGTAAACACTTCACTCATTTAGTAAAAAGGATATCTGCTTCTGTTACAATCAGATATTTCAAAGAGAACAGCAATTCTTAAAGCAACAAAAGTCAGCTCACCACAACATGATTTATGAAGAAAAAGAAAACTGCTAAATATAAATATAATACACATTATCACATTTATAAAAAGAAGAACTTTACATGTGTCCCTATCTAATATCCATTATTCATTCATAAAAAAATGTAACGGGCCCTAGTAAGAATAGTCTTAATCAAAGATTAGACAAATACACCTTAAATACCTAAAATTCTAAGTCTTTAAATCTCCTTCATGTACATTAGAGAAAGTCCAACAGTGAACCAAATATTTGGGAGAAAAAAAGAAAGAAAATGTCACATACTGTCTGTTGAGAGTCAGAACTCACTATTAGAAGAAGGGCGTTCGACCATTTCCTTTTACATATACCTAGAGTGCATGCCTTCAGGGGGCTGTTTCTCGAAACCTTCTTAAATATTACTTATTGGAAATCCCTTTGAAGCATGTGTTCTAGAAATTGTGTTTCAATGGGATGTCCATGAACTTAGATGTATGAACGTTTTGTGAAATTGGCCCTGGCTCTCATCTGATGATAAAATTATATATAACTCAAGCACAATGTACATGTACTATATAATCGAATGACAAATAGTTTGCATACACGTTTGAATACGATTTTGAATACATATTCATTCCAACATTTCTAATTTTTTTTAAAAATTGGTAAGGGTCAATCTGGGCGATATAATATTTCATCTGTCTGCTTAGATTCATCAGGACATTAAATCATTGTAAAGGGATAAGAGATACATGCTCCTTTCTGGCTCTCAAATGACAATAAATTTAATCTACACATAAACCGAGTTCAATCTACATGCGCTATATCATCAATTGCAAAATACTTTGCACACGATTTTGAATACAATAATCATTTCAACATTTCTACAGACTGCGTGAGGGTCAATCACGGAGTTACATTTTAAAATTTCGTCTGCTTAGTTTCAGAAGGACATAGCCTTATTGTTGAGGAATAAGAGATACAAGTTTATGGCTCTCGGTAGATGTTGCAACTCTACTATGTATCTTAAAACCAAGTAAAAACCAGGATGAATATTTAGTTAAACTGTTTCCCAGCTTTCATACTGATGGGGGGAAAAAAAATGTATTATTGTACATTTACATTGAAATATCAAATATAAAACTGCTCACAGCAGATCACAGTTGCAGGTTAAGTCATTTTATTTACATAATTATCTTCAGCCATAAATTAAATTACTACCAGACATTAACCAAAACCAAAACCAAAACCAAAATCTATTTTCAGCCAGCAAGGTATTCTGAGATTGCCTAAGGTCACGCTCGCCATCTACTCTCTACTCCTGACGAAGGATAGTCAACCTGTTCGAAATGTCGAGCCACTCATCCTCTCCAAGCGCTATAGTTCTCCTTAGAACTCCAAGCGCTATAGTTCTCCTTGGAACTATAAGCTAAGAAAGATAACAAACAGTCCTTTCCAGGACTCCTCAACCCTCTCTCTCTCTCTCTCTCACATGGTGCACCCACAAGCCTACTGTATATCTACATCACCATGCAAGCCGACACTTACAAGCAGCATCTAAGATTTCCTTTTCTTCTTTTTTGAAATTCTTTTTTTTGTTGCCTTCAGCCTTCAACCAAGACAGAGCCACATTTTTGTGTCAGCGTTATTGTTAAATGTCTGTTGTTATAGAAGAAAAACACTAAACAATTTACTTTATATCTTTTTAAAATATTGCACTATAGAATACATCGAATGGCACAATACTGATTGATTATTAACTGCTTATTAAGAAAGAATAAGAGAACCAAAATGTAATTGAGATGTAATTGAGTACCTGAGACTTCTGTTATTTTGAAGACTAAAAATAATATAAGGTGGCTTCTTATATAGTGCACATGTCAGCAATGCTACGACACTCCTGGTGCTTGAGCATAGTTACCCCTTTCATAGCATTCTAGCATATTGAGTACCTATTTACACCTGGGTTAAGAGTAGCAAATGTGGATTAATGTTTTGTAGAAGGATGTTAGTGTCGGGCTGAGATTTGGACTCACGACCATGGGACTGAGAATCAAGTGGATGAACCACTATACCGCAACACCTCCAAAAATAAGTACTTACCGTTCTATCCATACTTCAAAATCATTCACTGTAATAAATAAAAAGTGCAGTCAACGTATGCCTTGTATCAAATAAGGTCCTAGTTTTTTTGTTTTTTTTTACATCTTAGTACTATCTTTACTTTAAGAAGAATAAAGTACTAATACTTTGCAGACATTTTGGAAGTTAGTCAAAAAACAAAGACAACCAGATCTCTTGAGGCCAGAACCTAGTACTCATGTCGAATGCATCAACAATTATTTGGTCAATAGATTTTTTTTATTTTCTTATTTCAAAAGTACAATGGGGAACATAAAAACATCCAGCTACTTGAGCACACTGAGTAGAACTAACACCGAGAGCCCGAGAGTTAAGATGATCGAACCAACGGACAACGGTGCGTTTGCAAAGACAGTGGGGTCATAGTTGAAACAACGTTCTCTTCCGGGCACTACATGGAAGCTGTTAGCCTCACAAAAGGCTCGTCCGTCACGATACTGGTCTCCGATGAGTTTGCTGTTGTAATATCCTGTCTTGCACTGTTCGAAGGTCGTATCACAGAATTCTGAGCAGATGTATAGCCTCCTGAAAACAAAAAACAGAACAAAAAATTTGTTCTTTCACCTAGGCTCAGTACAAATACACCTGGCATTAATAGTACTGATAATGATGATGATAAAAATATTAGTGATGATATACATGATAATGATGATGATAATAATAATAGTCATGATTATATACCTCACTTAAGAAATCCAGCCATCTGATTGGTCGAAATTGCATTCATAAACTTTAACTATTTCTGTAAAATTCCAAGTAACCACGGTTAAAACAGTTCTAAAATCCCAGTAACCATGGTTACCGGGAAAATAGTTCAGTCTCCATGGTTACCCCATAGGTTTACATGTTAAAAAATGGTTTGAGCGATCGAGGATACCGTACGTGTGCGAAGAATTGGTCGGTATTTTCATACAAGACAAGACAATTCCAAACAAGACAAAAATGGCTAAAGAAACTGTCCCAAGATTTCAACTTATCAAATGCAAGACTCGCTGACAGCAAGAACAACAAAAAGGTACGTGAAATTATCCATAAACATGTTGGTTTAGTTGCTGAAAATGGAGTACCAGCATAGACGTAGACGAAAATAGATCTAGTTATCAGGGTGTCTGATCGCGCACCCGATGTTGTGTGCTATATTCTTCCCATAGAGATTACACGCAATGCAGCCTCTATGCAGTCTACGTGCATTGCGCGACCATGCAAAAAAAAGTCAATTTTTTTTTTTTCAATTCGAGATTCAAACCTTTATCTTTTGTGATCCTGAAGGTGATACTCAATAAGTAAGGTGTCATATGAAAGCGCGGGTTCTTCTCTCTATTCCCCACAGGGCCGGCCCACCCCCAAAATTGTAAAAATATCTTGCTTAGACTAGAATCTAGATCTAGTCTACTCTCAAAGATACACTCATAAAAAACAACCGTGCAGATAAACTAGAGAAAGGCCAAGGTGGTGTCATTAGTTGACTCTTTTGTTTTCGGCATATAAAAGTATTAATGACTGCTTTAATATTCAAGAAATAGTTGTTTTAATACGCTCTCGGGGCTCTCGGGGCAATAGCACAATTTTAACCTTCCCTTGAGCGTATAAAAACAACTATTTCTCTCAAAGCAGTCATTAATACTATACTATTACTATTATTAGTAGTATTTTCCTTCTCCTTTTCCTCCTCTTCTTTTTCCTTCCTTTTCCTCGTCTCCCTCCTCCTCCTCCCCCTCCCCCCTCCTCCCCCTCCCCTCCTCCTCCTCCTCCTCCTCCATCCCTCTCCCCTCCCCCTCCCCCTCCCCCTCCCGCTACTACCATTATTATTACAACACAAATTATACTTACGTATCATACCAGTTGATTTGCTCAGGGCTACAGAAATAGCACATCATGTAGTTCAGATGGTAGCGGCAAGAATTTGTAGCTTGATCCACCTGCAGATCAGAAATAAAGAAAGCAACAATGAAAAACTGGGCCTTATGGGGGTGGGTGTTTCACAAAGACTACGATCGACTCAAATTGGACTTGAACTATAGCAGGCCATTCATGCCAAAGGTTGCTCTCAGTATTGGTCTTTCAAGGGATGTCACAAATCTACAGAATTTTTTTTTTTTGATAGTTCATTGTTGAAGAAATAAATGTGGATTTGTGACCACGATTTGTACATCCCTTGCAATGCCAGGAATGGTTAGAGGAACTAGTGGCATGAACAGTTTAAGTCCAACTTAAGTCGATCTTAGTCTTTGCGAAACACACCCCGGGTTAGCTAGCTTAAAATTGAAATGTAGTGGTGAAAAAAGATGCATCTAGAACACAAAGTGCTAATTGTTGAGAAAGAAAAGAAAAGAAACTTTTTGACAGTGGTCCAAATATGACATTATGGTGAAAGTGACACAATATTTGCTTGCGACAACTGCTCGGGTCTTCATTTTGTCAAAGTTATGTTTGGGGTTGGAATTGGGTTTTAAGTTTGCGTTAGGGTTAGACTTAGGCTTAGGTATTGTGTTGGATCCCTGATAGAAGTTCAGAAATAAATTAGTGCAGGAATTTGATGCAGATTAATTGTTGTTAGAGCGTGTTGCACATCCCGGTTGATATTAGAGAAGTAAACAGGAAGCAGAATGTATTTTCATGAAAGTGTTATATCCTTCCTAACATTTTTTAACAAAACCTTCTTTAGCAACCACCTGTCTATAAAGACCAGATTTTTGTTTCCCTCTTGCTCTGGATAATGCTCAAATTGACTCCTAAACTTCTGAGCTAACATGAACTATACATAGAGACCACCTGCATATAAGGACTGCTTTCTTGTCTCCCTCAAGTGGTTTTTCTATACAGGTTTCCCTGCTTACCTTGAACATACTCCCCAATACGGCGGTAACTTCTGTTCTTTTGCAGCAGGCATTTTTGTTGTACCACGAGCAGTTCGGCAAGCCTGATTCTGGCTGAGAGTACCTGGCATCAACTAGAAAATGAATTTAATGATAAATTAAGTTCTTGTAATGGAATTGCATTAAAAAAAAATACACTGTAGACCTACCTGGGGGTTCGTTTCTCAAAACCGTCACAACTACAAGTTGGTGGGGTGCGGACGCGCGTGTGTTCAGTTTAAATACCGACCGTAAACTAAGATTACAGTCGCTAACTTAACACAGGCGCGCCCGCACCCACCGTCACGTGTCAGGACGGTAATGCAATTGTATTGTGCTTCAGTCTGCCATGACGGTGAATCCCGTGAGAAAGTACATTTATATTATAAATTTGTTTTTAGGAAAAATACTCCGAAAAAGATCAGAAAATTGAAACGAAACAGGTAACAAACATATCGAATTTTAAACCAGGACCATTATTTGAACAATCGATGAAGGTAATCTAGATCTAGGTCTAGTAGTAGGGTTTTTTAGTAGGGTATCTCCTAGACCAAATTTTCTGTCTCTTTCGTTCGTTAAGCCTCTTATTTGGGTAGGGTCGGCTCTCTCTTTAGAGACGGAAGCCGACTACACGCATTCCCTTGCTAACACCATGGCCATTTATGGCCATATTTTTATGCCCCGTTATCATTACGCCATTACGAACGTGTAGCTCGCGCACAGTTTTTCCTTCATAATCATTTTGCCTTCGGCGTAGACTAGAAGAGATGAGATTTAGAGTAGAGTCTCCTGTTTGCGGCATAGCCCGGTTTGCGGCCAGGGGTATCACTTTTCAAAATAAAATCAAAATGACTCGATAATATTCATTGAAACCTACCGTGGATTCCCCGGTAAGTTCTGCGCTGCCGAAAACGTCCGTAGCAGATGCTCTTGTCGGTACGGAGTATCCGTCAGCGATGTCGGAAATCTACGGCACCAGTCGGCGATGAAAATTCCAGCAGGTGCTTACTTTTAAGTTAAGAGATCGAGGCATGACTAGATCAATATTGTAGCTCTATTTGTCCGATATTTGTCCGATTGGAGGTGAAATTTGATGTTTTTGTGGAAGTATGATGGCTGTGGTCTGTCTCCTATCGCAGATATTTTGATTGTGCCACCGCATGGCCAGTTGCATGGGGTGGCCGCAAACCGGCACGTAATTACGTGATTTTCTGGTTTGCGGCGGGGGTGTTAATACACACATAACATGCGGGATCGTGTATGATGGTATGTGTGCTGATGTGTGTACCCGCTGTGACCCGATAGTTTCTAGTAGTACGTACCCCCGTATGGGATGATCCATTCAGTAAAAAGGTGAAATTGTTTAAAACTTGTAAAATTTACCGTAGCAACAGATAAACATGAGAATTTGGGTTACCCGTAGTAATTTGGTATATGCTTTGATCGTGACGTAGCGCATAAAGCTTTGTGACGTACGCGTGCCGCAAACCGGGTTACGCACGGCCGCAAACCGGGCAACTTTTACGTCTTCTAAAGTGGACAGTACTGACCACGCTGTGGGTCAGTTACGTTATTTGTGCCTTCTATTTAATAACTAAATATATGAACTCTCTATTGACGGTATTGAAGTATTCTGTGAGTAATTGCATCAAAAATAAAATCGGCAATTCCCACTGGACGGCCGCACACCGGAGCCGCTACTCTAGATGACGTCATGCGCAGCGAGAGTTAGAATACGTCTTGCAAGATTTTCAACATGGATTTCGATTTTGACCCATAATTTCCTAAAAGGGGACCATTAAACAGATTTTTTCAGTCAAGTTGGTAAGTGGAACAGATTTATTATAGCCTAGGGTCTAGATCTAGACTCTAGGCCTAATTTACAATAGGTCTATCATTTAAATTGGATATGCATGAGGTAAAATGAAATTTGGGGGGATAAAAATTTGGCCATCAATGGCCTTGGTGTTTGAAAGTGAATGGGTATAGTCGGCTTCCGTCTCTAAAGAGAGAGCCGACCCTACCCAAATAAGAGGCTTAACGAACGAAAGAGACAAAAAATTCGGTCAAGGTATCTCCATGTCCACGCCGGAGTTCTGCCTTCTGGGTCAGAGTCTGGATAGAATTCGGAACTAGCGCCTTTATTTCATCTAAATCTACCATGTCTACTTCGTCTCCATTCTCCATGTTTTATTTTTCCATTAAAGTTTCTGCGATTAGCCACATTACGGTAAAACACCATAGGCCCTAGACCCCTACACAAAAACAAATATCTGGGACAACTATGAAGAAAATAAATGGCAGAATACAGTAGACAGAGATATCGAGATTGCATACGTCAAAGAAAACGTTCTTTTCATTAGATATTACTTTAAGAAAAATCAAATACGTACTGTAGTATGTGCAAACTGACACCTCACTGGCCAGAGAATAAAAGAAAAACGCGACGGAGAGTAGAAAGAAACTGTTCATAATCCGATGAAAACAATCCATTTTCATGTAAAATTCATGTGTTACAGCTCCATCTACGTTTAAATAAAGAGAGAGTGCGATTCGAGCTAGATCGATTGGGTGGTGATGGTGGTGGTGGTAATTAGTTTGTTGACTTGTGCATGTGATTGTGAGTGTGGGGGGGGGGGGGGGGGGGGGTGGTGCTTTGGGGCTGCAGCCCTCATAATAAAAAGGTAGCTTAGAATGAATTTATAGTGCCCTCTTCACCTCCTATAATTGCCCCTATTCAAATCTGAGAGATATCCGTTTTACTATGACAAGTTCCCCTTCCCTCCATTTCTATATGTGCCTGGAATAAGTGTAAGAAGGTGCCCCATTTTCACCTCCGTTCTATGGGCCCTGAGAAACACACACACACTCTATCCAAAGAAAGACATAAACACCACAAAGGGTTTCTTTGGAACCGCTTTTATCTTTACGAATGGGGTCCATTGGCCCGCCTTAGCGCCCCTTGTGGGTTGCAGACAAAGACGTTTAAATATAATTACTAGACGGAAAGCAGCACGCGCGGAAACCATGCAGACGAATGGGATTAGGCTCCGCCTCTTTTGGATCATTTGAAGACAAAATAAGCTACCGAGGCGGCTTTTTGATTGGATATGAGCCTCATGAATATGTATTTTATCGATAGTATCGTTTAAGAAACCGGATAATATATTTGACCTCATTGCGTCACTTTAATTATGCAGATTTATGCACGACGCTACTACACTCGCACAAACTGAGAAGAGTTAGTTCATTGAGAATGGGTGAGTAATTGATTGAAATATGAGTAGATTAAGTGAATTTAGTCATCAATTTTGAAAAAGCTGCAATAGTCTTCGTGATGTACGGTAATTTCGTTACATTTGGAGACAGTTCTCAACAGATTTTTGGGGAAAAGACTAGTAAAATATTGCTCTTGAAATTGCACTTTTATTTTCATCGTCATGAAGTAGTTTGACTGCGGCTTGCTGTCATTTCACCCTAGTACTCCAGTTAGGGCCCCGAGGGGTTCCGGCAGGCCCACCCGGGAAATTTCGGTGCTCATTTGCATCAAGATCAAACTTTCTAATCAAGTTTTATTTGAGATTTGATCGTCATCATGAATCTATAATTCACGAATCACCGATTTAATTTAAATCTAGATTTAACGTTATACCTTAAAGTAATCTACGAAGCATGATTTTTTTGATAATCCAAGTGGATTAATTCTTGTTAAAATCTTTAGTAGATCTAGACTCTAGCCTTCTAGGTCTAACAAAGTTAGATGTGGACTTGAGGCTTTACTTTATCGGTGCCATCCGTTCGCTCAGTTGCATACGCGGTGCGTGTCAACTTTATTTAGACCAAAATTATCTGTGACCATTGATAATCAAACAACTCCAAATCCTATTCATTTAGATGTAAACCTGAAACTTATTAATAAAATATAGATATATAGACCTAGAGTCTAGACCTATTTAAAAAATATCAACACTAGGATTTGTTTATTTAATATTTAGATTTTGTGTGGGTCCAGCGTGCTTGTCAAGTTGTCTAGAGCCTAGATCTAGACCCTAGCTATCAGTGGCGTACGCAGGATTTTTTTCAAGGGGGGGGGGGGGGGGGGGGGGGGTTAACATTTTGAAATCGGGCCAAAAACTTTGCAACAACTCAGCCAGCCGCTGAATAAGGGGGGGGGGGGGGGGGGGGGGAGGCATCTTTTTTAGGTCATCCATTAGGATTTTTTAAAAAAAATTTTATTAAAAAAAAAAATCAACACTAAAAAAAGGGGGGGGGGGGGGTTCCAGAAAAAACATACATATAAAAAAAGCTCAAGGGGGGGGGGGGTTAACCCCAACCCCCCCCCCCTGCATACGCGCCTGACCCCTATTAATTCTTTTAATATATTAGAGATTTTTTTCTTCTCCAAATTGTGCAGTTCATGTTGATAAATCTATTTGTTTGTGTAAGAGAAGACCCCTACTAGTCCACAATTATGTTTACTTATGTAGTCCAATTCTTCTTGTCTTAATAAACCAATTTTACTTAAGACTACTTTACTATATGTATAGGCCATATAAAGCACTTTTTGAAGCACAAGTTTAATCTTCCATTTAATTTTAATTTGTACTGTGGTCCATTAAATTGGAATGTTGATTTCCACACCGTATTAAAATTAAGGCCAACCATGACATGAAAAATAGTTAATATGCTAGATCTATTTTATTTTGTTATGGAGAAAGGGACGCCTTGATTGTCATATCGATTTTTTTAAATTTTTGTTCCAACAGAATGAAACTGATGAAGATCTGGAAGGAGTTAACTGATGAGTGGACATTAAAACATTTCTTATATTTGCAAGATGAAGCAGAAAGTCCCATGCAGGTAAAATGTTCAGGCTATTTAGCACACAAATATTAAATGACCACCTATTAATTCACTAAAAAGGAAATGGAACTAAGTTTTTGTTGACAGCGTATATTGTGGAGGTATATTTTATTCTAGTTCTGCACTTAGCACACAAATATTGATATCTTTCCTTTCTTTGTTTACAAAGGAAATTTGTCCTTATTTACAGGAGGTCCTGTGTGTAAAAGAACCATATCTATTGCACATTCAAAGCACTACATGATCATACATGTAGAGTATACACAGAACCCCTCATCACTTTTTTTTGTAAGTGGTCCTTTCACTTCTTGAGCAATTAAGATGACGAAGAACACAAAATAAAATTAAAGAAAGTCTGTTAATAGGATGTATTATGGTTGATGTATATCCATTATTATCGCTTTTAAATTGAAGTACCTACATTGTTTTCTCTCATGTAGGATGATGCTTCTCTACAGTGGACGATGAAGGCATGCTGGTTTACAAACTCAGGAGAGGAACAAAGAACAGATATTGACGGATCATATCTAGAAATGCGGGCCTACTACACTTCATACAAGCAAGTGTGCTAATATACATGTAGGTACCCCAAATAAACTATTTTGGAACACATATCATGCAGAAAGTTATAGATCTGACAAATATATTTTTCATTGTCCGTTGACTTGTAAAAGAATACTTGACTGAATATCACAATTGTGATTTAGATTAAAAATAAAATGTCAATATAGATGAAATAAAAGTCTACATAATGTATGTTGCAGTTGCATTATTTCCAGTACATTCTCTGTTCCAAGTTGTTTGGTCATATATGTCCCATACTTAACTGAGTATTATTCAATTATGAGCACAAGTTTACATTACAAGTACATTGTACATGTATTACTTATTTCATACCTTGTCTGATCCAAGCTCTAGCAGGCCTATCGTCTTAATGGAATCATCAGAAATAATCTAACATGAGCAGTAACTAGTCTTGTAGGAAAAATAGTTTAGGTTTGCCCACTAGAACTCCAAGTGAATTTTAGTCCTTCCTCTTTTTGTCAGGGCAGGTATCAGGGTGTATGTTATTATTTATTAATCGTTGTTGATTTTCTTATACACTGTATCTTATTTTATTTTTCCATTCAACAGACTTGGGTTATCATTACAGCCCTTTCTTCTGAAAACTAGGCTACAACTTTATTGATGAATGCAGAAGACATCTACATGGGACTACCTCTTAAAGATGCCACCCTCATATAATGAAAGAGGACAGTAGAGATGGGTTTAAACTTGAACATTTACATACTATAGGTTTTCCCGGCCAATTTCGTCAAAGCAGCGATCAATTTCACTAACGTGCATTCATGTTCGAGCGAATGTTCTCCACTCGTTGCTCCCCTGTTTCATTTTTAAACTTTTTGCATTCAATTTCGTTTCGAGTCACCAAATTTTCGAAACAAGCACATTCAAATTAACGTTTGGTTCAGTCAATTTGGAAATGCGTTAGCGTCATTCAATTTCGCCAAAGTTGAGTGGGAGGACAATTCTTTGGCGAATTGCGGTTTCATTTTCGTCTATGGGCAACCTCTTTCGCAATCGGGTCATTCAAATTAAAACTAAACCTCATAATTATTGTATGAGGCTCGATGTTTGTTCGGATATTCACTTTTTCATGTTCATTTGTTTATTCTTTTTCTCTACTTTTCTGACATGATTTCACATTATACAATCTTCTTATTTGTCTGATATATTTATAGTGCATTCAATATTTTCTCTTTCTTTCGATCTTTATTTTTGATGAAACATTTCTTTATACAGTCATGTCTTCATATCTTTCATTATAAATGAGGTATTTTTTAAATGTTTTTTTTAATAATCAATCTGGATTGAGTAGGTAATCTTTCTTTCTTTTCATTTTACATCTTTTTCTTTATTCATCATTGTATTTTGTTTCCATCATGTCCATGTCTAAAGCTCAACTCTACCGCTGTCCAGGATCTGTGTATAATTATATAGCTTGTTCTTAGAAGAGAAGTCACAAATTGTACACCTTCTCTGGGGACAGTTACCTGTGTAATGACAGATGTCTGCTAACAAATACCCATAATCATTCCTACAAGTAAACTTAGCATTAAATTATTTAAACAGAAGTATATTAAGTGACAAATTAACATCAAATGAAAAGCAATGCACAAATGTCACATATGGATGCCTAATCACGAAATTGAATGCTCGAATACATACCACCGTCTGTCCGGCACGATTTTGAATGCTCTTTGCATGCTTTTCTAAATTGAAGGCTCGTTTTGCACGTTTCCGTGACAAGAGTATGAAATCGCATGCTACTAAATCAAATTGAACGATGCAATTAGCTTTTTGAATGTTGATCTACATAGTCATTCAATTTCGCACGAACTTGAATGAACATAACGTTAATTCGGATGCTAAGTTTACGAAGTTGGGCGGGAAAACCTATATTTATTTGTTACTTGTATTATATGTTTGTAGAATACCACATACAAAACTAATGAATTTATCACCTTGTCAACATTCAAATAATTAAAGATAAACTAATCATCAGTGAATAAACATTAACATTTTAACAATGTCAACTACCATCTTATAGGATGAAACTGAGGACTGGGCAGAAAGAAATTTCCTTGAAAATTGAGTGATAAAGATCAGTCTAAATCAAAGATTGAATTAATCAATGATATTTTAATTGTAATTATACATGTTTAAATTCATTTACCTCTATGGACTTCTGTATTAGAAGTTTTTTAGATTATTATATTATTGCTGCTTCAAGTATTGTATGTAAGAAGGTTTGAAAGACAACCCTCTAAATGCACTAAATATGAAAACTGCTAATCATCCATGCCTTTCGTATCCAAACTGCTAATTTTAATAGAATCATGTTTTATACTTCCTAGCTAAAGAAAACATGGGGGGGGGGGGCTTGCTATCCTCTTGTTGTTTCTACATGGACCATGTAACAGGTTGCAAAAGTGTAAACAATATTATGTTTGTTATATGTTTATATTAGAAGGATTTAGAAAATGAAAACTTTTGAATTATAGAATTACTGTTGCTAGAAGTAATGGCAGTATTGATTTTTAAGGGAAGGGGGTAGTTTTCCCAGAGAAATTAAAGGTATACCAATGTAAAATTAATACAAAAGAGAAAACTATTCTTAAAAATAAAATTAGAAAGGACATGGGCCTCCTAACTAAAACCCTGGAAACACTTCTGGGTCTTTTTTTTTTTTTCAAATTCGAAATTTCCAGTGTTAAATTCCATTGTCTTACAAAAAAATTATGTCAAGATGTTGAAATCAAACAATGTTTCACTTTCCAAGTTAACAAAATTGAATAAAATAATTAACATACTTTCCGGTCTCTCTGGTCTCTAAATTAAAAATGTTCAAAGCTCCTGCAAAGGTTGCAAAAAGGAAAAGTGAAGAGAATCCAATTGAAATGTGGACAGTAATGGAGTGAATATGGAATGGTTGATCATAGTTGATAACGAGTGCATGCAAATGAGTGGTAATAACAAGTACGACTAAAAGTGAGACGGAAAAGAACTGCAACAGGTTATTTAGTCAAGACAACAAACCTTCAGTTGCAGAAGATAATTTACGAAAGAGAGAGAAAGGGAATCATTAAGGTACTACGATGAGAGTGGGTGGGGAAAAAAACATCCACTGTGCCACATAATTTGTTTGTCTAAAATAAGGAAACTTTATACATCAGCATATTAAAAATGTAAAATCATAGCCAGAGAATGTGTTGTTATATGGCTTATAGCATGTTTGATTTAATAAACAAAAACAGACCCAGTTATTGATAGACTAAAAAGGGAATAGATCGACACAGTATTTCTTATTCAATGAAGTTAAGGCCACTCCCCCATATCGCGATGCATCCTGGGTATGAGGGGTGGAGCTTAGCAAGCCTGAGATCTGTGAAACTGGATGGTTATTATTATTTTTTGGACAATAAAGAGATTTTCAGAAAAATTTATGCTGGAATAATAATAAGTAGAGGTGTAATGATGTTTTCAAAGGCTACTTAGTTGGCGTAAATATTCAGAAATGAATTATACACGCCATTAAAACCTTAAAAAAAAAAAAAAAAACACAACAACGAGTGGAACTTTAAGGTCCACTTCCCGATGCATCCTGGGTACACCAGCTGTTATACTGGTGATCGATAATACAAGTTCGAGCGCGTATTTCACCTAACGGTGATCGCATCAGAATATTCCACGCTGATTCGCTGAATCACTTGCGTTGCTAGCGCGCAGCGTGATGAATAAATTACCCATAATTCCGTACAGTAGATTATTTGACCTCTCTTATTACGCTGATACGCGCATTGTCTTTTACCATGTAGTGAACATCATTCCAGTACACTTTTCGCGGGGAGCATTCTACAGAATGCATAATTCATAAGGCTCATGAATTATGCAAGGTAGCTTATTTTGGCTTCTAATGGATCCGGACAAAATGGCGGAGCTTGGGGGGCCTGGTTGCAGAGGCAGATATACCCCCGATCCGCCAGTGATTTATACATTTATGCACGCATTACGCATATAGCTTAAAACTACAGACCCGCTATTCAGGGTAGCGATTTAATTTGCTGCATGTTTCTATTTTAATGATTATTTTATTAATCCATTAGGCCTATAATCATCAGAGAATAAACATAAACTGATTGTTTGTATAAGTTTGTAAACCCTATTAGTGAGGAAAACCTTTTTGCCAGGAGCCAGTTTCTTTTGGCTACCCTCAGTATTTCATACTTCCTTTCTCTCTTAACGGTTTTTCATAATTTGGTTCTGAACCTTACTTGTTTTTTAATAACAAGTAAATAAATGAATAAATAAATGATTGACTAAATAAATGAATAAATAAATGAATAAATAAATACATATGTGATAGAAATCACTTAGTTTTGTGGAATATTCAAGTTCAGTTTAAGCACTAGGTTACCTTGCTCTTATGTTCGCCTTTCCTTTTATTTCTCAAATATCTCTCGTCGTTTGTCAAATGCAATTATTTTCCAGTAGGTCTATTTTTGTAATCATTCAATTCCTTCACCCTCCTCTCTTCTCGTTTCTCTTCTCCTCCTTCTCTATCTTACCTCACTCCCCCTCTCCTGACCAACACCCCCCCTCTTGCATTCCTTTACCCCTCACCCTCCACATTCATGTCCTCCTCTCCTATTATAACTCTGGAACCGGGTGGCTTCTGTGTGAAAGCCTATGGGTACGGCAGAATTCAGCAGTTAATAGGTTAATTGATTTATACAGGAACATTGGTTCTTTATCTCAACGCAAATAAAATAATCACCCCCCCCCCCCCAAAAAAAAAAAAAAAAAAAAAAAAAAAACTTGAAAAAAAAAAAAATATATATATATAAATAAATACAAAATAATAATAATAATAATTCAGGTCAGTTCAATCTAATTCAATTTCATTTATTTCCATAACTAAAAAATGCAAATATTTACAAGCAAGGCAAACTAACAGTAGAAAAAAAATACATAATATGAAACCGTGGGATACCCTTAAAAGCAAAAATGCTTGTGGACAGGGTACCAGGTTTTATAGCATAGTAATAAAGTACGACATTTATTTTAAATCTAAACATTTTAAACAGAATTATGATAAAATATCGTAATGCATAAAGTATGTACAAATGATTATTCAAGGTACACACAGTAACAAAGGATTTCGGTAAATTACCTGACAATATATTTTAACATCTTGTTAGTCTCTGAAACTGATTTCTTCAACAACTGGCAAGTCTCTGAACTGATTTAAAAAATTGTATATACCCTTAACACGTTTCTGAAGCACTTGCATGATAAGCAATTATATGGGGTGACGAAATGAATCTTATCGCTCGTGTTTGTAGTGTTACGAATTTAAAAAGAGGACTTTTAAAGTATGACTCATTACCATATCATCATGTTAGGTGAGGCAAAGATAAGCTATGATACAAAGTAGTCAGTATATAATTATATTGTGGGTTTAACAATTACTAGCCTCGATAGGACTCTTATCCTTCTGGAAGTTTTTGTACACAAATTTATATAATAAGGAATGAGACTTCCAAGAAACAATTTTCTGGACTATAGTCTAAGAATAGGCATTCAGGCCTATTATGATTGTAAACTTGTTGAATAATGAAAATGCGATACTGCATGCAATAGAGATTCTTTTAAGAAAGGGACACAGTAGAATCCAAAATGTTAATGCAAATCTTACAATGTAAGAAACGGAATAGCCTAGCTAATTGGCACATCTTAATCAGATTGGTCATATCTCTGCTTTTGTTTAAAATATGTATTTTCAAATTAAATTGTGACATCTTTCTTCGCCTGTCTTTTGTTCTTTTGGCATCGGAGGTCATTTTCAGTCATTCAGTAAAACATTCCGTGCCTTTCATGTTTGAGTTGCTTCAAGATTTTGAATTAATTGAGTCACCTCTGTACACAGACTTAAGTCCAATTTCATTGATTCATTCAGATTTTTACATCACATTGATGGTAGCGTCTGTTTTATTTTTTTCCTTCAAAGATTGGGTTCTCATATGTTGGCTGATCTTCGTCTGTCGTAGGATTGGCTCGTAGCTTGGGAGGTTGGGGATCCGTCTTGCGTCCTTTCCTGGAACAAGAGATTTACGGAAAAAGACAAATTTATCCCGTTGACAATGTCATCAGCGATAAGGAATCTTAAATGCCAACAAATATCTCTGAAGAAGGAGCACTTTATATACATATATATATATATATATATATATAATATATATATATATATATATTTATATATATATATATATATATATATATATATAGTAATGTGCCTGCCCTTGGTAAATATGTCTCAATTTATCAATATTAAAAGTTTGCATGATTATCATTATTATTAATCTTTTATTATTGTTTTTGTCAATGATATTATTATTATAATCATTATCATTATTACTATCATCTTATTATTGATGTTTATTATCATCATTATTTGTTATTATTGTTGTTGTTGTTACTAATATTATAATTATATCATGATTGAGGATCTCATTAATGCACAATTTCAATTCATTGAATCGCTATAATTGAGATATGCCAGGTGAGGGAAAAACAAAGTAAGAGAGTAAGGAGGTATGATATTGAATGCATGTGATAGAGAGATAGATAGAGAGAGAGAGGGGGGGGGGGGGAGAAAAAAGACGGGTAAAGAGAGAGAGAGAGAGAGAGACAAACAGACAGAGAGGGAGAGAGACAGAAAGACAGGTAAATAGAGAGAGAGAGAGAGAGAGAGAGAGAGAGAGTGAGAGAGAGGGGAGAGAAAGAGAGAGAGAGTGAGAGAGAGAGATAGGGAGAGAGAGATAAGAGAAAGATGGGGTAAAAATGGCGCGGGCGGTTGCCGGTTAGTAGTATGTACTAAAAGGAGTGCCTTTTGAGTTGATTTAAGATTTTAAATATTATTGAGTCATTTCTAGATACACCTCTGTACACAGACGTGTCCAATTTCTTTGATTCAATCCAATTTTCTTTTTTGTTTACTTGACATTGATGTTAGCATCGTCTGTAGTGTTGTCTTCTAAACGTTTCAAACTTTCATAGGCGTTTACAGGAGGCGACCCATCGAAGGTTGGGTTCTCATATATTGGCTGATCTTCAGTCGTAGGATTGGCTCGTGGCTCGGGAGGTTGGGGGTCCGCCTTGCGTCTTTTCCTGGAACAAGAAGTTTAAGGGAAAAACAAATTCATCCCGTTGACAATGTCATCAGTGATTAGGTTATTAATCTAATTTTAAATGCAATTCAATATATTTGGAGGAAGAGCGGTATAATGTGGCTGCCCTTAGAACATGTAAATATGACTCAATTTATCATTATTAAAGTTTTCAAAATGATTAAAGTTTTTGTTATTATTTTTGTTAATGATAATATTATTAATGCTAAATATATTACTCATTGCGGAAATAGTATCGAAAATAATATCGCTAGTGATATTCGAAGTTATTATTATCATTATTTTTATTATTGTTTTTTTGTTGTTACTACTAATTCATCGTTGTTTCATGTTTCACGATCTCATTAATTCTCAATTTCAATTCATTGAATCGCTACATTGGGATATGCCAGGTGAGGGGAAAACAAAGTAAGAGAGGCGAGGGGAGGGGTATGATATGGACCTCGTGTGATAGAGAGATAGAGAGAGGGAGAGAGTCAGAAAGACAGGTACACTCTAAAAAAAAGATACCCAATATTGGGTAAAATTTTACACTGTACGAGGGTAAAAAGGGAACATGCATGTTTGTTGGGTAAAATTTGACACAGGGGTGGTTGGGTAAACATTTACCCAGCAAATGTTTAATGTTTTACCCAACTAATGTGCAATATATTTAACCCAATGTAAAAGGTAAAATGTTACCCAACGACAACCATGTTCCCTTTTTGACACAACATTGGGTAATTCTTACCCAACTCATCCTGGATATTCGTTTACTTTGTTCTTGTGTAATTTTTTACCCAAAAGTTGGGTAAAATTTTAACCCAACCTGTGTGATTTTTTATTTTTTACACAGACTTGGGTAAAAACGAAAATTTGTCCGAGGAGTTGGCTGGAAAGGTACATGTTATATGTAGTGTAGTGTATAAATAGCAGACTTCTCTCTCTCTCTCTCTTGGCTAGACAGTCTTTCGCTTGGCGTGCTCGCAGTAGGTGACTGCATCACGGATGACATTCTCCATACGAATAATATATTGTCCAGAATTATGAGGAATTTCATGTCCATATTGAGAAGATTTACACGCATTCATGCAAATAAATGCTGCGGAAAGACACAAGTGCATGATCGTAGTCTATTTCGAACAAAGTCGTCCATCTTCTGTCGATCTTGAACACGATTAATTCGACGAACAACTGATTCGGAACGATCGACCACGCTAGCGCTTCAATCATAGTTTTTAACATCAGTTGTGTCATAATACCAACGTTTAGGTGTCAAAACTTGTGTTTACCCAACGCGTGGTTCGAATATTAATCTGCATCGTCACTTTCTTACCCCAGAAATGCGCACAGTCGAATGTTGATATGACACTATGGCAAGTGTAATGACATTTCGAAGGGACTTGGTGTTTGGCACAAGGTTGGGTAATACTTTACCCAACTTTTTTAAACAGCGATTTTGCACTCTATTTTTAGAGTGTAAAGAGAGAGAGAGAGAGAGAGAGAAAGAGGGAGGGAGAGAGAGAGAAAAAAATAAAGAGGGAGCGAGAGAGAGAGAGAGAGAGAGAGAAAAGAGAGAAAGAGAGAGAGAGAGAGAGAGAGAGAGAGAGAGAGAGAAACGATAATGGCCCGGGCGAAGTGGCCGAAAACTACATGTATAATTTGAAGTTTTCTTCAATATTATCACATGCATGTGTTGAATACATTGACAAAGAACTATTGTATGTTTCCTGTTAATGTAAGCTTACCATCGGAAAATGAGAACGATGACGACAAGGACAGCACAAATAAGGAGAATAATACTAAACAGGGCCCAGGGTACCATAGATGAAGAGACACCTAGGAAGCAGAACAAACATCATAATGCTTTTCAAACTGAAAGAATGATTTCATATAATTTATTAGCAGTTATAGATATATTGAAATATTTTTAATTAATGCTATTTAAGAGTGTAGATTCGATTACTATACTAGATTACATGCATTCATTTTGCATATTATCCAGTGATTTACTATTTGGTAATATTGTATTTGTTTGTAAATAATTATGTATATAACAATCTTGGTATCCCTAATATCTTTTTTTAACTAAGCTCAAGTATGATAGTTTCTATACTTTGTTTATGAACTCTCAAAAGTATATGTTGCCTTTTTCCAAAGTCTAATACATACCGAAATATACTAGTACTTTAAAAGCACAGCAAACCATAACGAAATACTTTGTATATAAATTATGTTTATAGTTTATACGTGTTCTTACGTATTCTTTTTTTCGGCTGTTATGTTCATGATTTTGTTATTATTATTATTATTTTAAAACTATTGTTCCTCATTATGTTTGACAGACCACCATTATTGGTGATAATGAGTCGCCCTGTCTAATCAGAAATAAATAAATATCAAAATAATTTGAAGACTCATTCAGACGCCGTAAAACCACGGCGTTAAAGAAAAATATTATGATGGCGTAAGACGTTATAAATAATACGCGTAAAAAGCTCAATAAATACGTACGTACAGGATTTTCGCTGCGCGCATGCAGTTGCCATGCATTAACAGTAAAATTATTAAAAGACGCGGCGGTTTGGGGGTGTGTGTTTTTTACGGAGATTTACCGCGTCCTTTATCTCCACAAGCCTAGCCACTAAAGACTTTTGTTTACACCATGCGTAGAGTTACGCTCTGTTCTAATCTATTCTATGTGAAAACAAAGAAGAATATCCAGTACAAAGGGTAAAAATGCCATCTTTGATAGAGTGATCCACTATATTAAACCGCACATCATAGTTTGTTACAAGTCCGCCCCTATCCCGGTAGCGTCATTTTTTCTGCGGCACAGATTGGGGCTTTTTTAAAAAAAGAGGTCTTGATTTAACCCTAACCCTAACCTTAACCCTAACCCTAAACTTTCTCATAGACTCAACACGCACCTAACCCCAATCTGTGCCGCCGAAAAAATAACGCATCCCGGCATATTCAATAATAACATCTACATAATAGTTTGACCATTTGTAAAGTATGAACTTAACCTACTTGTTTGTGTTTGAGAAGTCATCCCAAACGACGCTTGGCTTCGTGGACCTTCGCTATCTTTGTTCCACAATGTCATATAAACCGAGTACTGAGTGTCAGGTACCATTGAGCCAAGGTAGTAACTACCAGCAGAATCAACAGGAAACTGTACTGAGCCTTGAGAAGAGACATCGGACGTTGAAGAGAAGTAGATGGAAGTGTTCGTAAAACCACTACGACAGTTTGCAATAGCACCGTCAGCCGTTAGAGACTTTGAAAGAAAAGGGATGGCAAAGTGTATGTAACAGGTTGACTACTGGAAAAATATCTCGGACAACTTCCCCTAGGACAAATACTCCTTAGGACAAATTATCCTGGAAAAGTTATTCCCTAAAACCACCCCCTTACCCTCAGGGTGATGAAAATAGTGATACTTATCCAAAGACCTTTCCTCGGGTAGTTGTCTGGGCCTGGGTTTATAGTCCGTAGGGAGTAATATTCCGGAAAAATTTGTCCGTGGTGATGTGCCGGAGGTGCAAAAGTGATTTAAGATTGTAAGAAAATGGCTGTTGTTATAAAGTCGAGTTGGAAGAAGAATGAATTGTCGATATAATATTACATCCATGTAATGTCGATGAAAAAAAAAAAAAAAAAAAGGTCTACTAATACCAAACAAATGAAAGTTTTGTCTTCTCTTTGAGAAGCTTGAGTGGGAGGCTGGGGTGGTGGTGGGGCCGGGGGAGGAGGGGGGGGGGGGGGTGGAGGGCTGCCCTCGAGACACCCTAGGATAGCTGATCTTACCTGCCATGTAATAAGGAGCTGTTCAGGAGATGACACTTGATGGACTGTCACATGTGATAGAACTCCGGTAGGGGCTACACGTACATTGAAACAAGAACAACGAAATGAAAATAACGAACAAACATAAACAATAGCTATCACATTATGCTTAACTAGAACATGAACACTGGTGCCAATTTATTTGATTGAACTGTTTGGATAAATGATATAAGAAGTTCTTCATGATTCAATGAATACACTGTCTAATGAAGAATCTTCCTTAAATTAAAGAATCACATTAACAATACAAGTAATCCTATTTTATTATTACTTGGTTGATTTATTTCCTGACTTCATTTGAAATGATTGGACAAGCGAAACATGACAAGACTGAGATGTATCACCTTGAACTATATCAACTTCTAAAACATTTGCATTACTTGACGCTTTACGCATGAAATTATTCAGTCTTTGAGGGGTGCCAATCTTCGGATACAAAGAGGGGTTAATAATGTTGTATCTTTGTGATCAAGGTGTTTGCCCCATGCCTCTTTCTAAGCATAGAAATTAAAATTATTGTAACAGGTTTGACAGTTTCTGGTACTGAATGGATCATTGTTGATGAATTTGCTTCCGACATTTTTTTTGGAGGTTCCCGATTAACATAATGAGTGAATTATAATGAATACGAATATATCGGAAGTTTGTCTTGACGACAAATAACCCCAAGCATGATGCCAAAAAAGTTGATAAGGTGTGTTGTTGTTTTAGGGTCATAGGAGGGAAATCAGAGACCCATTTCACAAAGCCTTTTTTCAATGACAAATGACAAAAATCAGTGACACATTCGCTGATAACCAATCAGAATCAAGGATTTCACTAGCTTATAACAAAAACTGTAATTTGTCACTGATGACAAGTTTTGTGAAACGGGGCCAGAATTGTCAGACGTGGTGGGGAGGACGTCGAAATGTCGATCCCTTGGGAGGGCATTAGAACAATAATATTGGACGGCGGCTAGATTTTCTCACCCTATATTCTAGAAGGGAGAGGGGCATGGTCTAATATCGCAAGTTTCTGTCATCTCCCTGGTATTATGTGCTTGTACTCACCCAAACAGGAAGTACTAGCAGTCACATTATTCAGAGGTCCTTCTCCTCCATCGCCATCCCTCACTGCAGAGACACCAAACAAGTAATCCCTGTCAGGAGACAAGCCATCAATCATTTGAGAAACATTCAAAGCGTTTCCTCGATCAAGACGGATCCATTGTGAAGAATCTGGAAGTGCCTCCTTGTAGTATACCTTGTATCCAATGAGTGGTGGATCGCCAATGTCTACCCCGTCCATCCATCCGTCCCAGGACAGTGTGATAGAAGTTTGAGTAGTCTCTTGGATGAAAGGTGACCTTGTCAGTCGAGGTAAAACTTGGTTGAGAGTGAAATAAGAAGATATAGACATACTCTAGTTATTTGTCCTTTATAGTGACAATGGATACCTTCCATCAATGATAATCTAGCACGTCGATACTGTCATGAATACTCTGAGCAGATGCCTGTGTGGCTGTATCGTGCTGTCGTTACTAGTACTCTTTTTCTGTATCAAAGGTAAAGAAATGGTTTGTAAAGAGTTCTATTTTTAAAATTGAATTCCAGTGGATCAGCCCATACTTTGAAAAAATAGTGAATAATTATTTCTGAGACACCTACTGTTCATGTCAGCAGCAACCTCAGCACTTCTGTAACTATTAACATCGTAGAAGATGCAGACAAACAGATCTTCCGCCGTTACGTAATCGACTTGAAAGTAATCAATAGTTTCAGATTCATGCTGAATATTTCCGATGCTAGTAATTCCTCCATCTGAGAACCGTTCTGAGCCATCCGTTACCCGGTAGAGGCCTACAACCGGTGGCACTGATGACAAGAACTCTCCACCCTCTCCGCGGCAGGAGAACTGTATATTCGTTTGACCCATGTTCTTCGGTGTATTTTCGACTTCAATTGTACCTTCAAAATATAAGAAATCTTGTTTGAATATAGTTTTTCTATTATCTAAATCTAAATATATTGTTTGTACGTCTATATATACCTTGTAAAAAATACATATTTATTTTTTTGCATACAATTTTGAAGTTTATGGACGTTATAGTATACTGAAAACTGAAACTTAAAGACTGTGGGTACATGAATAGGGCCGAGTCTATTTGTGAGTTGATTTTTCCTGCAGAAAAGACGGTAGAGTGTGTCAAAGGAAAACGAAATCCTAAAACGGAGGGTTATTGCTGTTAAGCTGTGTGCTCTATATACAACAATATAACCTTTTTTTTTAAAAAACTAGAAGATAGTTTGCTTAAAAATGATGCTTTATCTTCCATAAATAACTTACCAAGCCCCAAAAGTTTCAATATAAGTACATCACCTACCTGAACAATTCCGACCAAACCTGCCAGCCAGACATTCTGTAAAAGAAAAATCCAGGTAAATTTAAAGGCTTAAAGGTAATACAAAGTTTTCGTATGGGGTCATGATTTTGGTTCAAATGAACAATATAGGAAGCATATGCGATCCTACAATATGCATTGATCGTTGTCGCGGTTTAAATCGAGTCTTAAGTGACGACATTGTAAATAATAAACTGTTTATGTTGTATAGCTCCCTCTCAAGGTCAATATTTCAATTTAGCTATAAAACAACGTTTCTTGACTAAAATCGACCGATTGGCTATTCCCGTTTGGAAATTATATATATCTGAGATTTTTATGGTCGCAGCTATCATTGTATGGCAGTAAGCGCTATTTGAAATTTATCAAAATTTACCGGGAGCACCGGTAAATTTTTATATTCAATTTTTCTCCAAAGCGGAAGGGCTTTAGAGGCTAAATTTTCTAGTGCTTATAATACATCCACAGGGGCATCAAAATATATCAAAATTGTAAAGAATCATCTCCAACGAATTTTCAAAATTTCCCAAAACTTTGTATTACCTTTAAGAGAATAACATTTTGCTCTTTGAGTAGCATAGGAAAACCATATATCGTTTTTAATAATTCATGTTCTCGACAAATATTGTTCGAAATATTGTTCGAAATAGAGTTTTAAGTACAAGTTATCGATATATTTTAGAATACTTTACAATTGATACGACTTGAATTTATCTGGGTTTGTTCAGTCAATGGTACAGTTTAAAAAAAATGAAACATGAAAGATGGACATTAATCTTTGTTTTGGTATCGATAACGCATCAAACCTTTTATAATCAGGGATGCACATGATCATTGGTTGTTAACCATGTGAAATTCGTGGAAAGTGCGCCAACTCAACTCAGGCTGGACATTCGAATTTTAAACAAAATCTGGTGCTAAGAATGCAAGTCAAGTTTCGGTGAGTTCCAGCTAGCATCTACAGGGGTAGTTGTGTTATAATAAACTAAAAATTGGGGCACCTTCCTGCCCAAATATGATCTTGCCCTCAAATGCCCCGAATATTGGGACTTTAAAAGCTTTGGAAGGGACGGGTTGTCGCCCCGCGTATACAAATAAATACATTTAGCAATTTACTTACTTTGACAGCTACTCCCAGCCCAGCCATGCTGGCACTCCGTGGAGCTTCCTGCACAAACTCCAGTAAATCGATCACACTCGCCTGATACACAGTGACATGTCTCCGTGCAACTAGCTCCAAACTCACCTGGATCACATTCTAATAGACAGAAGTAGAAGAAGAAGAAGAAAAATAGAAGAAGAACAACAACAACATCAACAACGAGAGAGAGAGAGAGAGTGAGATAGTTGAGGGAGAGGGGAATGAATAGAGAGAAAGAAACAACGTTTCTATTTTCATCTTCATTTTTTATAAATTTCATTAGTCTTTTGGGCTAAATATTACAAGTTGTTAAAACACTCCTTTCTGCAACTTTATTGATTGTGTAAAAAGAAATTTTCAACCTATTATTATTATTATTATTATTTTTACTATTATTATTATTATTAATATTATTATTATTATTATCATTATTATTATTATTATTATTGTTATTATTATTATTATTATTATTATTATTATTATTATTATTATTGTTATTATTATTATTATTATTATTATTATTAATATTAATATAATTATTTATTAATATAAGTACATGTAAGAAGATTTACCTGTGGTGCAATTCAGGCTTTTGTATCCTGGTGCACAAGAACATCCATATGGATCTGGTAAGCACATCTGAATTCCTCTACAAGCGGTATAATCGTCTACTGATGTATTACATCTATATTCACATGATCTTCCGAAACGGTTACCGCCGCAACCTATATTATAGCACAAAACCAGGCAAAGGTTGTTCAAATTATATTTCACTGAGTATATTTATTAAAATATGTATCTGATTTTGCTTCTTGCTCTATGTCAATATGTTATCACAACATGTCATGATTTTGTGAGTTATTTTGATTCTATGTGTACCCCTAAACTTTTCTCATTTTATCTTGTGTATTTTATATTCACTGTCCATGTGATGCACAATCATTTTCTCGAATGTTATCAGTTTTTCCTTTGCAAAACAAAATTGTGATGTCATTGAATTTTTATAATAAGCACTGATCAATACAAAAGCAATAAAACACCTACTTTAGTTTATTTCATATATTCTATTTTCTTAAATTAGGAAAGTAATTATATCAATGCTAGAACAATTTATGGACATTAATACTCGATCCCCAACCAAAAAATATCATACTAAAACTAAATTGAAAATCAAACACCTCTTTTCTTTTTGAAACTTAACGCAATCTTTAAAAATATGTTTGATTATTAAAAAAACACAAAAAAAACAAAAAAAAAAAACAATCAAATCTCAATAACTAGAAAAATTACCCTTTTCGCATGTTTCTCCCTTGAATCCTGGAGCACAGATACATTGTCCTGTTTCATCATCACAAATCCCTCCATTGTGACAAGAAGAACAGGTCAGAACACAGCCTGAGGATGAATTGTATCGACCCAACGGACATTCTGCATGTGAAAATTGGGATGCAGGCAATTGAGGATTTGGATTTATTAAATATTCATTGGTTTTACGTGGGAATCAAGTGCTTGATACGTTTATAAATCCCAAGGTAAAAGGAATTAAAGGGAAATCCAACTTTTCGTAGCAATTTCATTGCAAGGAAGAAGAATCGAGAGAGAGTTGATGGGGGTTCAAATAATTGACAAATAATAAAACAGTTATAAATGTTTAAGAACTGAGAGCACTGAATATAAATTTATCTTATATTGGCTAATATTGGTCAACTGACTTTGACAGCATCATGATAATTGTGGACCACTTTTCTATTTGTTTGAACAATAAAATATTTATGAATTAGCAGAATTATGAGACGAATAACATTTCCCTTGGGTAAAAAGTTTGACTTTGGTTGGGTGAACGCAATATTAAAGAGATAGTTGAGTTCTGTTGCAGAGGGCGCTACACAAAATAATTATTTTGTGAGATAATGAAAAACTGACTGTCAAATTTGAAAGAACATACAATTTAAATGACAAAATCGTCTTTGTTTGATTGAAATCAGTTCAGAGACGGCTGAAATATCCATAAATATAACGATTTCTAATACTTGTGTACCACCACAAATATTAGATAATTTGAACCAGCCGTTGAAAGCCGTTAAAAAAAAACACAAAATAGCGCCTTTTACGTTGTATTTCAGCCAATGCCGATGTTGGCTATTTCGTGTTGGCTATATTACGCACAATCAGCCGGCCCATGTATTGTTATAATCAATTAATTAATTAATTAACGGTCACCGTATTTTTTTAAAGTGGAGCTGAATCGGTAAGGCTAAATTTCAAACATGTTTGGGTCTAAAATTATCTTCTTAGCAATTTTAGGTCCTATAAAAGGGCACTAGAAATGTCATAGATAAGAATTAAGAGCAATAACCATGCACTTTGAAGGCATTTGCGATCTGAAAACAGAACTCAACTAGTCCGGCAGCCAAATCCAGATTATTGGCCTAACCTTGTTTTAGGGTCTATAGTTTTTTTTTCAATGGATTTTGATTGCCTAGACCTTCTATTTCAAGAATCCGATTGCTGACACTCTGTCAGCCTTGAGCAATTTAAGATATATGACGTCATACAAAATGGCCGCCAAAGTACATGATTTTCCTTTAAAAATGAATAATAAATATATAATAAGGATTTTTTCTACAATTTTTGGTAGCCAAATGTCTGTATCTCTCTAGGACCATCACTAAAAAAATGTTACGTGATGTTGCATGGCCATAGATGACCAGCTTATTTGCATATTTTGAAATAGCGCCCTCTATAAACATATTAATTTGAATAAAATATGTGTGCCAGCCAAATGCCAATTTCTTAAATCTATGTCACGTTGAAATCATATTAAATGCTTTTTTTGGGCAACAATTGCAGTTGTGCTGCATTAATCTTTCATTGTGTTTGGTACACATTTAGATAGGGTAGGTGTGGGGAATGGAAGACCCTTAAGCACATTTGCATAATTTACATGAACATGAACAATGTTACACATACAGATATTTTTGTATTCTCTTTAGTATTTTTTCTCTTTATTTGGTAACGAAATTGTGGTCATGATGTAACTGATTAATAAGATAACAATGATTAATGACGTCATCACCAAAGGTCTCTCATTACCTACATGTGTAGGTAATAAGGAACAGTTACAAATCAAAACATTTTAAAAACAATTTGAATGAAAATGGGATTGTTATAGTTAGTTCAATCACTTTTTGACAGAGATACATGCGGCCAATAAACTTACTATAATTTTGAAACGATTTTAAAACAATGTGGCACAAAATATTTCTGTAGATTTTTGTTTACAGTAATAAAGGTGCTCTCAATCATGTTAAAATACTTTCAGAATAATGTTCTGGCAATATGACTTTTACATTGATCAAACTCACAGCATAGAAACAACTTCTTAAAATTAAATGCATTCAAATTAGCATGGTGACACGTACAACCAAATATGTTTCATGATAGTGCCTTTCAACATGAAATGGACAACTAGGGAGAAGTAGGCCCCAATCGTGGACCTGGTGTCCCCCATTACCTACACACATTTCTGATCAGACACCATTCATAATGTGAATTGCAACACCCATTCACAACACACAATGGCCATAAGCTTTCTGTGATGGTTGGCACATTTCATAAACTTCCTTTTAAAACTAATTTTTAAGAGCCACCCCTAAATATATGCATACCCCACAACATTCAGTGAAAATTGTGTTTTTATATCAGAGCAAAATTTACGATCAAAATTGCTTATCTTGGTCAATTTTGCCAATTTTCTCGGAGAGAGAACGCATTGCAGTCTTCGAAATGAATTGGATATATGCAGTAGTGTTGTTGAAGGCCACATATGTCGCTATATCAATATTGGAGCCAACACAGACAGACAGTGATGCGTTCAAGCTTGGTGGTCTCCAATTCCCTACACCTACCCTACATATGTCAAGAAAAAAATGGCTATGAAAGAATTCATTTTTCATCAAATCGGTGAGAAGTGGTTTTACGGCAAACATTATTATTCAATTGATAGGCTTTATTTAGACCAGCATTGCTCCAACGTCAGTGAATATGGATAAAGCAGTTGACATCTATACTAGACAGATGCATAATTTTCAAAAGAAATTACCTGGTGGCACAATTTCCAAGAAAGTTCAAACCGTGGCAGCCATGAAGAAGTCAATGTTGGGGTACGAAAGTCTATGAAAAGTTGATCTACTCCAGAGTAATAGGACTGCAGACAAGTTCAAGAGAGGTCAATGTCAAGGACATTTTGTCATAAGAGCTTTCACCAGTCCCAACAGCACTTTTTGATGATTCTGGAAACGAGCACTCCCATGTCAAAGACGGACTTATAGAATTTGACAAAAGTTGAGATGTCAGCCAGGCATGAGACACTGGAACAACGTTGTACAGTCATTGATGGTTGTGCTCTGCTGTGGATGAAAATCTGATGATGTTTGCTTGGTGTTTGACAGATCCGAGAGTATCTAGAGGTCATAACGGGTCGAGAGTCTTCCAACTGAGTCCTGCGTCACTGCTGCCCTCCAAGAAACTATCTCTTACTGTTCGTCGTCGTCGTCGTTGTCATATAGATCATGGCTCACCATTGTGACCCGTTTGATGAGACCTTTTGATCGGCATCTGTCTCCTGCAATCCGGTAGAGTGTCTTTAGTATTTAGAGGGTGGCTAGTGATTTCCCTAAGGTCGTCAGTCCATCTGAGCTTGAGTCTTTCTTTGTTACGTGTTCCTTCAAAGGTACCTTGAATGATAATTTGTCAAGGTTGTCTCCTGATCTTCTGCTAACGTGACCAAACTATTGTAGCTTGTACTTGTCAATCCTGGTAGCAAGTGGCGGTTGATCTCCGATGATGGACATTAATTGTGTCCATTGGTGTTGTAATCTCTTCATGATATCCCAAGTAGCTTCCTCCAACACCACATTTCAAAGGCAGATATTGCCGAGCTTCCACCCTCCTTGACAATTATTGACCCAAGAACATTATATAAACTTGTCCACTTGATCAACTTCTTCTCCATCAACCACCATGCTCTGTTGCATGTAGTTAATTTCCAACAATCATGATCTTGGTCTTTTTCACATTGAGGTAGGGTCCAAATTATTCACTTGCATCCTTCACTCTCTTTTAAGGAGTTCTAGTAGTTCTTCTGATGTTCTTGTTATAAGTGTTGTCAGTGGCATACTGAGCAAAAACACTTAGAGGGGCAGAAAAACAATCTGCATCACCACCACTCATACATGTTACATGCAGGCCCCGCGGAACTTTTTTTAAAGCGGGGTGGGGGGGGGGGGGTGAAGTATTTACGATCAGGAAGAGAGGAGCGCAAATTGGTGTGGTGTTCAAGGGGCACAGCCCCGGAAGCTCAAGGGTTTCAGGCATTTATTTACTGTAAGATGAACATATTTTGATACCTCATTTCACCTCGGGTCACTTTCTTTCTTTCTTTCTAGTTCTCTTTAACATACTTTATACAAAAAGTGAGAGGGCTCGAGTCCCCTGAGCCCCGCTGTTCTGCGGAACCTGACATGTAGGCTTTAGGATTTGTCGTTTTCCAACATACGCTTAACAAATAATAATTTACTAAAAAGTGAGAAAAAACCCAGGAAATTCTTTTAATATAGCAACATTTGTAAATCACTGGTATCGAATATATAGAAAAAACAGTTTGAATTTTGTTTGGGGGTTCAACTGTCCCCCGCCCCCCACAAACCCTTCCCCATCAATACGCCAGAGAGTGTTTTATTGTCGGCGTATCTTAGGTTGGTGATCGTTCGTCCACCAACAGAAACTTGACCATAAAATGCCTTTCTCATGATGAATTCAGCATAGATGTTGAAAAGTTATGGTGATAGGATGCAGCCTTGACGGACAACTTGACCAATAGTGAACCTTTCGGTGTAGCCATTCTCTGTTCTTACTGTTGTTTCTTGGTATTGGTAGAGCGACTGGATGAGTTGAATTATATGTGCTGGAAAGCCCATCTAGCTCATAATCTTCCATAGGCGTTTATGTTGTACGCAGTCAAAAGCTTTGGAAAGATCAATAAAGCTAGGGAGAGAAGTTGTTGAAACGTGTCTCTAGTGTTGCTAACTTCACTATCTTTTCATGACAACAAACTACAGTTGAACGACATCATATATATGCGCGAGTCTGCAGGATGATTGGGTGCTCAGAAATAGGCAAAAGCACAAGCAGGTCATTACCGTCAAGATGAGGTTCCTGTTGAAGTGATTCCAGGCAGTGATGTCATGCCAAGGAAAGGTCTGTCCACAACATAGTTATGATGAAGCAGGCAACATCAAAGTGCAGCAAGCGATTTGAATTGATGCTAATGAGAAGATGTATGTTAGGGTCCTAGTGGATGACACAGACGTCTACGTACTACTTTTGCATCATTATCTACATGACGGACTTATAAAACG